AGTATAGAATGTATTTAAAAGGGCTTGATAAGTACATTAATTAAATTCATACATTTTTTGGCTAATCGTTATGAGATTATTGAAATCAGCTGTTGTTCACTCACATGAAATGGGCAAATTATATAAATTTGGCCCTTCATACATATTTTTTCTTGTATTGTCTGTTCCAAAAATGTTTGTCTACACCAAACGTGTAAAACACAAGGAAGCAAACCCACACGTTCAACTTATTTTGCCATGTTACCATTTCTTTTACACAAGACAGTATCCATGCAAAATAATTTTGTGGTTTCACATGTAACAATGACACCAAAATATTGGTGTCCTGTTACACGTGAAACTGATATATGGATTATAAGGTAATAAGCTTTAAACTTGATAAAAAATGAGTAAAACTTCATTTATATTAGTTAAAAATGAACAAATTTGAAACATCAGCTGAAGATGTGAGTGTGTTTAGCTTTGAGACTCCCATATTGGACAGGGTTGGGTTTCACATGTAACATGGATGCCAAATTATTGAACGTTCTGATTACATCTCAAGATGTGATGCCTAAACCATTTTGCCGTCCCCATCCTTCCCGTATCCCGTCCCTACCCTCCCCTACCCCACCCCACCCTCCCCCACTCCATTCCCACCCTTCTAGTACCCATAACATATTGGACAGGGTTGGGTTTCACATGTAACATGGATGCCAAATTATCGAAAGTTCCGATTACATCTCAAGATGTGATGCCTAAACTATTTTGCGGTCCCCATCCTTCCCGTACCCCGTCCCTACCCTCCTCTACCCCACCCCACCCTCCCCCACTCCATTCCCATCCTTCTAGTACCCATTACATAACAGTGTTGTAGTCGAGTCCATCACAAGTCCCTGCAAGTCCATCATAAGTCCATCACAAACAATTCAGTCTTAATCAGGTAATAAACTTTAAACTTGATAAAAAAATGAGTAAAACTTCATTTACCGGTATATTAATTAAAAATGAACAAATTTGAAACATCCGCTAAAGATGTGAGAGAGTTTAGCTTCGAGACTCCCATTATTGGACAGGGTTGGGTTTCACATGTAACATGGATGCCAAATTATCGAACGTTCTGATTACATCTCAAGATGTGATGCCTAAACCATTTTGCCGTCCCCATCCTTCCCGTATCCCGTCCCTACCCTCCCCTACCCCACCCCCCCCCTCCCCACTCCATTCCCACCCTCTAGTACCCATTACATAACAGTGTTGTTGGATGCATTGTTCCTTGGATTAACCATTCCCAAATGGATGAATTTACTGAACATGCTGAAGCCTAAATCAATGCAAATTATGAATTTATTTCTTAGGGGAAGATTTTTTTTTAGTTTTGTACTATTCATTCTTATGTGTTTTGTTTCTTTTGTTTGAAAAAAATGTTGAAATATCTTAATTCAAACCAGAAAAAGAAAATCACATGATGCTCCACCCCCATTATGAGAATGGAATGGTCTGGCGGTATCCTGGCCTGTGACCAATCAATGTTGACACTTCCCCTCTTATTTTAGACTAACTTCAGTAAAAATCACCAACTTTCGAACCCCCTTCAAACAGATAAATGAAAAGGACCCCATTTTTAATAGATCAGACGTTGACCATCCAACGCAGGCAAAAGCACAGGCCAAAACACAAAATCGTACCACACCGTCGCATGGAAACCACGTCGTGATATTTCCATTACGATGTGCAATTTCAGTTAGGGTTTCGGGACACATATTTAGCGTCATTTGTGAAAGCTTAGCCTCTTCTAGTCCGAGTAACTTGGACCCAACTTATCGCCTTTTTTAACATTTTGGACATGGTCTGGCGATAGTGGGGTCCAAGCTAATACCGCGACCTGGACAACATCATCCTGTCAGTGTCACTGTCCCAAACCAACATTTTCCAACAAAAAACATCAGATTTCACCTTCAAAACGGCCTCCAAATTACTAGATATGCCACCTGAAGTACAAGTAGACATCGATGATTAAGATGGTTGTACTTAAGTTTACTTACGATCCGGAAGAAAAGTGAAATTTTCCGTTCATTTCGGAGAGCTCCCCTCGCGATCTTGAACACGTTAAATTTCCGATCGTGTTTAATGTTTGAACGACGCGATTTCTTCTACATGCCCAGTGTACATTCAATGGTCCCCGTATCCCGTGTGCGATTCCGTTACCGAGCGCGCGCGATGCACGATTATGATAATGAGTCACGTTTGTAAACACATACATGTGCATTTTGAACTGTAAAAGGGAATCGGGAACCAGCTTGAACTGGTACCCGCCATAAAAGCTGCGCTAGTTCCCGACTCCCTATTATCGTTTGAAATGCACATGTGTTTACAAACGTGATCCAGTCTACTCATTATCATAATCGATGCATCGCGCGCGCTCGGTAACGGAATCGCACTCGGGATACGGGGACCATCGAATGTACGCTGGGCATGTAGAAGAAATCGCGTCGTTCAAACATTAAACACGATCGGAAATTTAACGTGTTCAAGATCGCGAGGGGAGCTCTCCGAAATGAACGGAAAATTTCACTTTTCTTCCGGATCGTAAGTAAACTTAAGTACAACCATCTTAATCATCGATGTCTACTTGTACTTCAGGTGGCATATCTAGTAATTTGGAGGCCGTTTGACCGTGCATGAACATGTTTTATGCCAAATCACGGAAATGGAATATCACGTCGTCACGCGGTTACCATTTTGTTTCGTATCCATTCCGTAGCTGAAGTGCAGGTTTTAGCGTGTCAACTATACTGCAACAATTGTTTGAGATGTTATTCATGTTTCAGCATACACAGGGAGTAGTTCTTCGGGATTACCAGGCACCGTGTTGATAAATCTGTAATCTAACCCTTGTTTGTCCTCCCCGAATGTGGTATACCTCGTAACTGACATCACACCGTAAAAAAATGACACCAAAACTATTGGCACCCACGATGGAAAAGTTGCCGAAAGCACGCGGGTTTCTTCTTGCAACAAAGCAAGGGTTGCATCCGGGTACTTTGATCGCAAGACGTTCATCCAGAAAATCTATAGAGGGCGCACGCGCGATCGCATTTAATTATCACGTCGTCACGTTTTTTAGTGGATGCGAAGTCAACTACCAGTGAGTAACCACGGTTGTTTTTTAAAAATCGTGTAGTTTTTTTCATGATTTCTGGTTGGATACGAATGGAATGCTACTGTTTCTCGTGGAAATCGTTATTTGGGTCTTCTAAATGACTCTGACATTTTACAATATGTCGGTAAATTTCGGTTTCACCTCGCAACATTGCTGACACGAAATGTTACGATGGGCGCTGAGACTTCCGTGATCGATACTTCAGAAATGCAAGACGCATGGAATAAATAACAATCAGGGAATCGTAAACGGTCTATTGGTTCAACTTTATTTGCAAAACATTATTTAAAATATACTCTTGGGAACACAGAATCGTACATTGAAGACCGAGTATGTTTCATGTCACAAAATATTCTTAAAATAAACATGGATACCATGATATTTTGGTGACGTAGTTTGGGTTTCGACCAATTGGAGGTCCCAAAAATTTTTTTTTTCTTGTTCGCCCATTCATCCTCAATAAATCGGGATCGATAAAAAATGTGATTAATTTGTCAAAAAAAAAAATAACAGCACTTTGTTTTCACTGGACCACTGTCACTGATGCATTGATTGTGTACCCAACTTCATGGAATGACCCATATACAATGTGTATGTACATGTAAATACCATACATGTATCAGTACATTGGATTATGTTGGAGCTACGGTACATGTACATGTATGTAAGAGTAACTTGAGAAGTTGGTGTATTGTGCATGCCATGTTCTTCATACATGCTCTTCAGTTTAGTGCTTTTAAGTTTTAGTCAATAAAAAAAAGTTTTATTTTATTAACCCTAACTCCCTTCTGTCTTTGCTAGAAGCACTGGCATGACTGGACCAAGTCCGCCCAAATCCATCAATCACACTGCTTCCATTAATCATGCATGCTTTGCTTTAGGCCTCCAGGCCCAAGTCCATCATTTTCCATCAATATTTAGTCACAGGACCAAGTCCCCCAAAATCCACCAAAATGGGGGATGGATTTTGATGGAGTGGGGAGGTTAGGGTTAATAGTATACGTGTAAAGGTACCGGGTACCATTAAGGAGACACGTTATTGTAATTTCTTCGCACGATGGGAGACATCGGTCATTAGGGAGACATTTTCATGTCTCTCTAATGTCACAGCCCCCCTTTAGAGGCAAAATTTTATTGTCGCAATTAGATTATATTTGTTGCTCGTGGTCTAATAAGTAAACCTACCGAAATTCGTCGAAAAAGGAAAAGGGAATATTGGGTTAAGGTACATTTACACTGTAAGTTTGAAAAATGTTGTGCACAAGTCTATGGGGATGTCTCCCAAATGTCCAATCCAGGGTAGTTATTATTATTATTATTATTATTATTATTAATAAAGTACCGGTACATGAACTGGAACCCCCTGTAACGTGCATGTTCATTGTTGGTTTTACAGCATGTAAGGACACAGAATAGGATCATACAGTATATGTACACGTAATTAACTCAGAAAATTGGCTGTTATGTAAGTTTTAACCCTAACTCCCTAGCATAATTTAACAGGAACCATACCCATTCTGGCAAATTCCAACACCCACATGGGAAATTGTACACACACACTGTTGGACTTAGTTTCTGGAGGTACATGTATGCCAAACCCAATGTAAAAGACCATCAGTTTAGGGGTGCTGTACCTATCCCAACACATTTAAACAAAACCTGCTGTTGGACTTTGATGGGTTGAGTTCGGTTAGGGTTAAAGAAAGGTACGGTATGTATTATTTAACTCAATTATTAGGAGGAGATCTGTCTGTTTTATCTGGTTGATTTGCATGTTGCCAGATCTATACAACTAAGACACCCTATAGCCTGTTAAATTTAATGTTTTCAAATTATTTTTTTTTGGTATCGTTTGCAGATCATCAATATTCAAGACATCATCCATGCGAACAGTATCGACGAGCTGAAAGATGTGTATCCTTTTTGAGATAATCTGCTCAACACTGCGAAAGGGAATCACTTGACGTCCTTGCCCTTTCACGCAATCACGCATCATCAGTTGTTAACGGTTCAGTTTTTTTTAATGGTTAAATGTTGATGAGCATTGGTGTAGGGTGTTCGGGTATTAGGAGAGAAAATAAAATTCTCCTTACAATATTGTTTGTTGCACTTCAATCGGACAAGTTATTGCCGTTTAAAGATGGTATTTATCGACATGTCAAAAAAGTAAAATACTGAGTAAAAGACCCTAACCCTGCTGAATCCAACAGGCTCCAACTATGTCACGTACCCGATGGAGCCTGTTGGATTGAGCAGTTAACCCCATGTGTACATTCCTCATGCAAAATGTTGGATTCAGCAGGCAACTGAACCACATTATAACGCATTGAACTGTTGGATTCAGCAGACAACTAAACCGCATTATAACGCCATGTTGGACTCCGTTGGATTCAGCAGACAACTGAAAATGAGGCACAGTGGATTGAGCAGGAAAGTCCAGCTGGACTCTGTTGGATTTAGCAGGGTAGTCCTAAGGAAGTACTAGGGGGTTAGGGTTAAAGTTTCGAGTTCTGTAGTTATGAAAATTATGAAAGATGCCAATAAAAATAGTCCATGACTTTTATACTATTTAAAAAAAAATTGTGTAGTAGACATATCAAAGATTACAAATATCAATGCATCTGAAAATCAAAAAAAAATTACCCCCCATTCGTTTATTTGCATTTTTCTCCACTACGGATTGTGCCAAGTGCCTCATTTTCCAGAATGCCTCGCATATAAGATAGAAGTTGAGGGTGAGGGGTTTTGATGGGAAAGAAAATTGCACACTTGTTCAACCGAACTCTGGCTCAAGGTAGTTCAAGTAACTTCACCCAAACACACACTAGACAACTATGTTGGGACTAATATAGCCGTGGATTTGGTGTCCGCCTACATGTGTACCAAGGTTGGTTGCATTGCTTGTTACAACCGCGTAACAAGCTTATCATAATAACATGTAAAATCAACTGAGAGCCAGAATCAAGAGTTTCATGAAAAAGTTCAGGCCATCGTTTCACTAGAGTCGCCTTTATTGCTATTAAGGCTTGGATTGTAAGATACGTCATTAATCAACCACTACTCAACGCAGAGAAATGCGTTGATTTTTACCTTGTTAGCACTCTCGAGTTTAGTACATTTAGGCGCACGCACGGCACAACGTTGTTCGTTGAAGTAGTCTTGAACCCAAGTCTTTGTTGTATCCGAGCCTGCATGCGATACAGGCGGCCAACGTGCTTCACTGAGTGCGGGCGTGTTGTGTGCTAAGCACACGTGGCATTCAGACTGGAAGTCAAGTCTATCATTTCAGTTATCGGTGGTTTCCGATCGCAGTGATATATGTGAATACAAAAAACGTCGGGTACCAACTATGTTTTCGTGGCGCGCATCGCGTAGTGCAAAGGCCATGTACACCGACAGTGTTGTGGAATTGCATCGTTCATGTCTCGTGTCGAATATTACATTGGAAATTCGGGTAGGCAGAATAAATAATAGGAATATGGAAAAAGTCAAAGTGATTGCATGAACCAACAGCTTAAAGTCCATAGAAGCAAAAATAAAAACTAAACGGAAGTGGGCTTGGCTACAAGATAAAGATGACAATGGGGACTTTGTGTCGGAGTTGACATCTCTGTCAACAGTGGTCCTCAATGAAACTTGCTCGTGGTGGTTTTTTGTGTGTGTGTGTTTTACAGATGAATTACCTTGACATTTACCATTGAAATCCAGATACATTGTACAGAGTCTCATGGAGACGGATCTGTACAAGCTTCTCAAGACGCAGAAGCTGAGTAACGACCACATATGCTACTTCCTCTACCAGATCCTGAGAGGCTTAAAGTACATCCACTCGGCCAATGTGCTGCACAGGGACCTGAAACCTAGTAATCTACTGCTGAATACTACCTGTGATCTCAAGGTAACGGGGGCTTGTTCCAGGTTCCAGTCCAGCCCTGGTGTTCTCCAACAGGGGTTTTGGGAGGGTGGAAAGCCTTGATGAATTTGTTTATGCCGACCTGGTGATGTTTTTCTGCCCTGGTAAAAATTTACCTCCCTGCTAATTGTGAACATCACTCACTTCATTTCGTTGCTGATTTAGCAAAGACTACTTTACTTCGTGGATTCCTGATTATTTAAAGGGAATATACAACATTTTGCAAATATCGAACAACAAAACTACCAAATTTTTACGAAATACCTTACTAGGATGTTGGTAAATGACAGTCTAAAGCATCCTGTAAAATTATGGCTCCTGGTCAGCTGCAGTGAAGTCATTTACAAAAAAAGTGGTATTTTTGTATAAATTTCCAACGGTGGTCGGCCAACCATCGTTGGAAAAACCTAACTATTTTTCAATTACTGCTCCAAATTTACCATTTTTTTTTCAGTCCAAATTTTGTTTGCTATTGGTTACATGTTCATGAACGGGTGCAAGCCAGCTAGACTGGTTCCCTTACCTTTCAATTTTCTGGCATCTATAAATTGATACATTTCATAATAGTGGAGTCAGGGAACCAGACTACTTGAACCTTTTTTGTTTTTCTTGGTTTTTCCAGCATTTTGAACACAAAACTTCAAACATGTCAGTTTAACATTATTTTGATCTATTATATTAACACCTCAACTACTTCATTTCTGACAACTACAGCAAAAGTCAATGATGTACATTCCCTTTAACGTTGAGCATCAAAATCTGATGATTCAAACCCTGATGGGTTGTGTTCTTGGGCAAGATATTTTACATTTTACTAAACTTGCCTGAGCTCTCTAACCAGAAGTACATGTATGTGTACGGGTTATTGTACCTTTGAGGGTGGAGACCAGGGCCCAATTTCACGGTGCTGCTAAGCACAAACAGTTGCTTAGCACAAAAAAAGTCTGGCTTATAAAAGCAGGTTACCAGCCAAAACTCCACTTGATGTATATTGCTAGTGATTAGTATTCAGCTGTTGTTTGCTTAGCATGAAAATAACTTGGACTTTTTGGCTGATAACCTGCGTCTATAAGCCAGACTTTTTTTTGTGCTACGCAAATTTTTGTGCTTAACAGCGCCGTGAAATTGGGCACAGGGCCCAATTTCATGCCTCTGTTTACTGTTAACAAAAAATCCCTGCTTACTATAAGCAAAATCTCCCTGCTTACTATAGCAGAAAATCCTGTGCTTACGGTTAGCGCGGAATTCTGTGCTTATCAGAGACATGAAATTGGGTCCAGATTGTGCTGATTTCGAGCTGCTGCAGAAAAAGTGGTCGCATGGCCTGATGAACGGGGGTAATAATTGTGAAGCGCTTTGAGCAGACGTGAGATTTTTCAGACTTCGGACTGTAAGCAGACATTTTGGATCTGAGAAAATTTGATGACTTTGCATAGAAAGCAACGCAAAAGCACTTTTCATCCAATTTACAGATTCTGTTGTCAATTGACAATCTCATTCCTGTTTGAGACTTTGGTCCATAAAACGCCATATTAGCGTGTCATTATTATCAAATATACTTATAGTGAACAACACTTACTCTTTTCTGTGGAGAGCCGTGGCCTCGTGGTCTGGAGCATTGAATTTGTGGTCTGCGGGTAATTCTGCAGGTTGTGGGTTCGAGTCCAGCCTGGGTTTATGGTGTGTGTGCCCTTGGGCAAGGGACTTTGTCAGTCATTGCTTCTTCCCACCCATGAGTAAATTGGGTACCTGTGAGTGCTGAGATGGTTTTTGCGGTTGATTTAGCTGCTTTGCCCTGAAATGGCAGCATCGAGCTGTATACTCCCCAGGGAGCTGAGATTGTCTTTGGAATGTTTCATGGGCCCAATGAGCAGGGTGATAATGATGTAGCGCCTTGAGCACCAATACTGGTGGATACGTGTGCTTTATAAATAAGGGAATAAATGTGTGCTCGAGAGGTTTTAATCACTCTGTTTAAGACTGCTTAGAGTCTGGGTGCTGATAATTACCCGAGCCGGAGGCGAGGGTAATTATCAGCACCCAGACTCTAAGTGGTCTTAAACAGAGTAATTAATACCGACCGAGCACGTATTTATTTCCATTCATAAATACCTTTTCGGTAAAATAAAATCAAGGAATTCGTTCAAAAAATCGTGATTTTGATCAACAAGTTCACTCCAGCTTTTTGAAACATCCCTTTAGCAAAATAATGGAGTGTTCAGCTGGCGAGTAAGATGTAAACAACCCTTTTATGGAGATTGACGCGCGCGTAGCACGTTCTGCGCGATGTCGCGCAGAACGCACCTGGGGCGTTGCGTTTTGAATTTAGAACTATAAAATGCTGACTCACTGGTAGTGTTGCGCATGCCTACGTGAGGATTGTGAACGTTCAACCAATGAAACGGTAAGAGGCACTGGATTTTTAGGAGTCCACATTTTATGTGACACTGGAAAAGTGTTTAAGACCAGCTAGCCATGTCTTTATCATCCGTTTAAGACCGGCCACGTGACGGGCTCTCGACCAATAGGAATGGCTAAACTGTCTGAGGTATTTATGAATACATATTAAAATACACATTATTTGTAACCCCTTCCACCTGACAGATCTGTGATTTTGGATTAGCCCGGATAGCTGACCCAGTCCACGACCACACAGGGTTCCTGACAGAGTACGTGGCCACGCGTTGGTACCGTGCCCCGGAGATCATGCTCAACTCCAAGGGCTACAACAAGAGCATTGACATATGGTCCGTGGGCTGCATTCTGGCCGAGATGTCCAGCAGCAAACCACTCTTCCCCGGAAAACACTGTATCCTTTTATTGGGGGGGGGGGGGGGAATGCAAAAATGTCATTCTTGAAAATAGTAAATTGTAAATGTTGCTTAACCCTAACAGAACTCAACCCATCAAACCCCAACGGCATGTTTTGTTGGAATTTGTCAGGATGGGTACAGTACCCCTAAACTGACTTTTACATTGGGTTGGCACACCTCCAGAAACAAAGTCAGAAATAGGTGTGTGCAGTTTCCCATATGGTGTTGGAATTCACCAGGATGGGTATGGTTCCTAGTAAATCATGCTAGGGAGTTAGGGTTAATGGTTAGCAGAGAGTTCCACTAGCCCTCCTGCTGTCTGAACAGTCACAGGCAATCAAAACTCAATCCTGTTCCCCTGCCATGACTACTTTGTGTATTTTAAAGTTCTGTCCACGGATAACAAGGTAAGTGTTCTTTCAGCAAAACGAAAAGAAATCACATAAGATGTGTGTGAATTGTTTTCGTTTTGCTGAAAGAACGTACACTTTCTTGTGATACGTGGACAGAACTTTAAAACATCGGTTGTGTTTAAAATTCCGTAACTTGAAAAGTACATGATTGATTCGAATGATTCTTGTACTAAAAGAAAGCTTGTGAATTGGGCTTTCATATCCTAGATTTGGAAAGTGCTACATGCAGAACTTCACTAAAACAATAGTCACGACATTTGGGTTTTGCTTTTTTTGACTCACCCTGTATACTCGTGGGCCAATTGGTCATATTCCTTGGTTTTGTGTTGGATTATTCCACCTTAATCTTGTGTGCCACAGATCTAGACCAGTTGAATTATATTCTGAACACCCTTGGGTCACCGTCCGTTGACGACTTGGACTGTATCCACAACGAGAAGGCTCGTAACTACCTGAAGTCGCTACCCTTCAAACCCACTGTGCCCTGGAATACTATCTTTACAAGAGCTGATCCTAAATGTAAGTCTCAGAATGTAGTTTTTTGTGTGTATATTTTCTTCATTCAACACACATTTGTCTTCAATTTCTGTATGTAAAAAGAAACACATGCTACATTTCATATTCATGTGAAGATTCCAAAATATTTGAGGTAGAGTACATCATTTGCAGCTATCCAAAAATTAAATGACAAAATTATTGTTGAAAAGCTTACTTGGTTTAAAGATATCGATGGCACTAAACTCCCTGTGAAATGATTCTTTCTGGCATGCTGTCATTTTGAAGAAAACAATAAAAGAAGGTAATTTCCAAAGATGCGTCTAAAGACGCATTTTTGGAAAGTAATTCGTTTTCAATTCGGCGACTGGTGCGCGCAAGCGTTGACATGACGCACATGCGCACGTGGTTGCTACAATTTGTCGGTTCAGTGCTTGACATCACGTAGCTGCAATCGGCTGAATGAGAATGCGTCCCAGACGCTGATTTCAGGTGCAATTCAAAACAGGGCAACTTTTAAATTGAAATCGAGATCCTAGAATATTGTTTTTTTGGAATATACAGCATTCACTGAGCTTAAACTTCATCAGGTAAGTTGTTAAGCTTCCTTCTTTGGATTTTGAGCCCTTTTGTTGCTTCAAACGAAAAAATGCACAAATGACAAATGACGTACCGGTACTTTGCCTTTAAATCCCAAAGTTAACCTGAAAGAAAATTCTGAAATGAGCTCAATGTGCCATTTTGGGCACTTAAAGATATAGTCCATCATTTGTAATTTGTGCATTTTGTTCGTTTGAAGCAACAAAAGTGCTCAAAATCTAAAGAAAGGTACTGAACAACTAACCTGATGAAGTTTCAGCTCAGCTTCAGCTGTATATTTCGAGAAAAACAGCGTTCTAGGATCTCAATTTCAAATCAAAAGTTGCTGAATCATGTTTTTTAATTGGGCCTGAATTCAGTGTCCGAGACACGTTCTCACTGAGCCGATTGCAGTTACGCGATTTTGCGCACTGATCCGACGAATTATAGCAACCGCGCGTGCGTGTGCATCGTGCCAATGCTTGCGCGCGCTTCGCCGAATAACTAAACGAACTATTAATTTAAATTTCCTACGGTGCGTCTTAAGAAGCACCGTTGGAAAGGCCTTCTTTCGTTGATTACTTCAAAATGACAGCTTGGCAGAAAGAATAATTTCACAGGGAGTTTAGTCCCCTTACTATCTTTCAACCAAGCATGTTTTTTAACAATAATTACGCCAGCTACTTTTCGGATAGCTGCAAATGATGGACTATACAGCTTTAAACACTTGAGCATGAAATGATAATAGTAGGACAGAAAGTTGGAAAAAAATACAAATGTGAACACAATAAAAGTTTTGTGGTATTCATTTAGTTCTTGCTCAAAGACAAATTTGGGAACTTTTTCCTAAGAATGCCGAGCCGTTGGAGTGCAAGAAAAATATTGATTGCCTTTGGTATGATATGCAGGGAACTCTCACCCCAATCTTCCTTACATTGCAGTAAACAATGACTCCATTGATTCCTACGATTTGGGTAACAATTTCAAATACTCTTTTTTTTTTTAAATATTTTGTGTCAACTTTCTTAGGTCTGGACCTGCTGGATAAGATGTTGACATTCAACCCAGACAAGAGAATAACAGTGGAGGACGCACTGAAGCATCCTTACTTGGAACAGTATCATGACCCCACCGATGAGGTATGGGCGTGGCTTGGGCCTTTGAGATGGGGGAGGTGTTCCATAATTTTTTTTTTAGGCATTTTGCCTTTTCTAGTTGAAGGAGATGTACATGTTTTTTTTCTAAACACACTAAGGTACCAATTTTCACTGAATTTTGTGACGTTTGAGAAAAACAGGAAAAATATGTTACATAATTTGTGTATTTTTTTTCATATAATTTGCATACGTCTTATAATGTCTGTTTACGTTTTGACATTGACAGCCTATAGCAGAAGAACCCTTCAAGTTTGAGACAGAGCTGGACGATCTTCCCAAGGAGCAGTTGAAGGAGCTCATCTTTGAAGAAGCCAAGAAGTTTATCTTGTTACCCAAGCCAGAAGGAGAGGGCAGCGAAATGAGTTAGGATGTCTCCCCAAAACCTGGGGGAGTAAGTCCAATCAATGTAACCAGAGAGGTAGGGGTGCTGGCTGAGACTGGTTTGATCCGGTGCTCACAGGTTGAAACCGCTCATATGGTAATTGAGTTGCTTGTAATGGTTGTGTTCCCTGAGGCAATTTTCTGCTTGTATAAACCGGTCTAAGCCAGTTTCATCTTTCTTCTTGCCAGTGCCAACTGTTTCAGCCAAACATCGACATCTTCTCGTTGTAGTTTATTTCTCTGGAAACTGTATTTTATTAACCCAGCGGAGGTAAAATGATATCAGCAGGTGTCATACATATATGTCAGTTTGGTGGCAACAGATAATTCTGGAAGAAGGATATAAAGATGTTGGTTTCCTTGTAAATATATTTTGAACTTTACAATGTACACTGACAGATACATGGGACATTCATGTAGTTGTGGGATTTTTTTTTTTTTTCGAATGAAGAGAGTTTTATCATATCAAACAAAGAATTACATTCGGGAGGAGCAATTTGAATCAAAGTTAGCCAAAATTATAGAATAGAGTCCTAAACCCTCGACACAAAATATGCAGTGCTACATATATGGGAATATGAAAAGTAGCTGTAAGGGCAGGATAAGTGGGTAAGGGCAGGCACAAAAGAGTGATGAATTTGTCCAAGCCAGATATTCAGGGGGTTTTTCGGGTCGGTTCGGGTCGGTTTGGTTTGAGGGAGTTAAGATCGGTTTCGGTTGGATTCAGTTTAAATCTCTAATGTTTCAGGTCGGTTTGGTCTGGTTTACCCAACCCGATGCACATCATAAGTCGGGACCGGTTTTTCCACTGTGCATTCTAACTGTCCAACATGCCCAAGTGCAGTCCCATCTGTCAGGTGCCTATAGATAGTCCTCACCCAAACCAGTTTGTTCCGGCTTTGCCCAGTTTTGTCAGGATTGTCCACTCCATGGATTCCTGCATGGGATTTATCGCCATCCTGATCATAAGACTGGTTCTGCTAAGTTTTGCCCTTTTTTCTGTCGGTGTAGATTATTTCTGAAATTTGGTTCGCATTGCTCTGTTTGTCTTCATGCTGGTTTTGTGGATTTTTTGGCATAGAAAATTGTTGATCATAGGAATCAACAATCCTCCCCCTTCCTTGCTCCTTTATTAGCCGCAAATTTTTATTATAAACTAATTATTATAAAATTTGATATAAAAGAGAGGACAGGGTTAATCTATACACGTTTTCTATTTTTTCCAAAACATTTAGGAACATATTTAATGTTAAAAGCACAATTGTCCTGAACACCTGAAGAATTTTTTTTTTTGGTAAAAACATTCCCACTTCTGTTTTCTTTTATTAAGTTTCAACAATTTCCATATATTCTGAGAACTACGTAAAGGCACCCATTGATTTTTGTTGGGGTCAAGTATTACATATTGCATTTTAATTAGACTTTTTTTTACAAATTTTTTTTTATCGGTGGAGGTGAGGGGGTATTAGGTTAACTGGAAAGGAAATGCTGCTTTTTGCAAACAAGTAAATTAGAACAATATAAAAATTAAAAAAATTAAAAATTAGAAAAAAAAAGAGTCTTATGCTTGAACTTTTTTAGAGTGGTATCAACAGCTGAGTAAATTTTGTATATTTTTGTCCAAATTATGGGAAGTGTTTTTTTGTGTTATTATTAATCCCCAGCACAGAAACTCTTACAATTACAAAAAGTAAATTAATTTTTTTAAGCAAGGAAAAATAGCCTTCATGCCCAGAGTCAATTTTGAGCATTTCTGTTAAAAGGGTTATATCACCTCTGTCTTGTGTTTCGTAAACTCATTCTACACTTTTGAATTTCTCATGATTTTTTGTTCTCAACATATTTTTCTACTGTTTCAAGCATGATTGACCAAATTAAATAAAATTAAAAATGGAAGCCTGTACATAAAAAAGTAATATTATATAAAGGGAAAAAAAAAATCAACAGTCGTGATAGTGTTTATACTATATATTTACAGGATAAATGTGACTTACCGGTATTTTTGTGTTTTGTAGTGTTTAAGTACTAATTACTCTAAGATTATGTAATCAAATCTATCTTTTAAAAAGTTTATGAATCATGATGGAGATGAACAAATGCACATGTACGGGAGTCTTGATTAATGTATAGACTACCCCCCCCCCCAAAAAAAAAAGTTGGGAAAACTTGCCTAGATTTTTGAGACCATCATGTAATGATAAAATTAAAATTGTAATTTTGTTCAATTCACAGAAGAGTAATAACATTGAGTGAAAGTTCAGGATGATATTTGTGGAACACAAATCCAGCATTGATTATGTAAACCTAATTAAAGTTTAGAGAATGCTGTTTATCGTTGGACTGTGGTTTCCACGTTTTTAAGGAGGTGGAGTCCTCTGTGCTGTATCGTGGGGAGCAAAGAGCCATGCTGCACCTGGAACTGAAAAGTTGTGCTGATTTTCAGTAAAAACTGCGATGCCAAGATCACACAAAAGCTCGGAGTGTGACGGTGCGAGCGGCAAAGGCCATCATAATGTACATACCTTGGCCCTGGTGATGAGGGTGTCTCTTTCGGTCGATGGCGTTGGGGGTTGTTTTTGCGACAGAAACATGTCTGATTGAACCACCACTGTCGTTCACGCAGCGCGGTGTTATTCGATCTTTGCGTAGAACCGAAGTCGACAAAACGCTTAACCCAAACATGAAAACAACCCCAACAATTTATATGTTAGAAGTTTAGAACAATTCAGCGCGAGGCGTGTGATTACGATTGTCCGGCGTGTGAGCATGTGAATTGACTCTTGAGGTGTGCGACACACGCCGGAGGCATGACACTGTAGATCTGTATATAAATACCGTACACGTACTTCATCATTTTTATATTGTGAATACTTGCACCATTATGGAGAATTTACCCGCTTTTGCAATCTGTATTTTGTTTCTAATTTTGAGTGGCCCATTTACTGATTAGTCTTGGTCCAACTCTGCATTTTGATTTTGTGTGGGGTCTTGTGTACTGTGCTCATGCAGGGATTGGCTGCATAATTGGAACAATAAAAAAATCCAGGCTTGGACTAAGACTATTTACTGATAAGTAAGCGCACTCTTTCACTTTGTGTACTGTGTATGATCTCTCTGAAGTGATCAAATGATTATGTTTGAAAAAACCCCACAAAGTTTGTTGTAAGTGTTTTTTTTTTATCCCTGTGTGATGATGATGAATTGTGTCCGAATCCCTGGGCTATAGGCTATGAGAATGCATGCGGCATGCACGCAAGCCCGGCACCACCAAAAAAATGGCTTCAAATTGTGAACGCCATGATAAAATACATCTGTCATGGAAACCTGATTTCCCATCACCAGAGGGCGCACTCTGTTCACAGAGAGTGCACTATAGCGGTACATATTCATGTGATAATTAGTTTGCCGTCCTGGTATTGCCCGTAATGTTTATTTCCCATAATGTATATTTTTCATGAAATCACTGCCCATAGCAGCTAAAAGTCTCTCTCAGCTGAAAACAAATTATCTAGTAAGTAGCTCCATTTCTCAAGTTACTTTTGTGGAAAAGATCATATTTTGCGTTCTTTGTGCATATTGTCAATTTAAAATTTGAATGCCAAGATTTTCGTCATCAAAGTAAAAAAAATAATGTGACACTTTAAGAAGAACCAATAACGTTCTGTCATACGTAGAAAAACAGGTTAAATATGTTTGCAGAAGTTAAGTTCTTTGTACTTGAAGTTTTCTTAGGGCTCGAGCTTATAGCGTGGAAAAGAGCCAAGTTTGTTAACATTTGGCTAAAGTGTCCTGCACAAATTTGAAAACAAAGTTCGAAATTTCTAATCAATGGTATATGATATTTCTTTACAGCAGAACGAAACTATGATTTTACGTAGATAATGGATCATGTTGGCTGAACGTGCTTTACCATGGAGAAGAATCTTGTCGTTTTTTCCTAAAAAGAAATTAAAAAAACTACAGTACCTGTTCTGGAAGAATCATGTAAAGCAGATCGCTTTTAAAAGGTTTATATATTCAAACAAAAGTATAAATTAAATATTTTTAATGTAGAGAAGAACAAGAGAATTATTTTCTACAGACTAACTACGTAAGCCTGCAAGCTTGGCAGTCGTATCTCGTGTTAATTGTACATTCTGTACATGTGTAGACTGCTGTAATGGTAGTGAGTTACCCATAGCGTATCCATAACTTTTTGGTCTCCCCATGTGCTTAATAAAAAAAAAATAACAAAAGGCTTCAGTTGTATTGAAACCATTTTCTTGAGTCATGGGTTGTCTGTGATTGCTAGTGACTGTTCTCCAAGAATTCGGTTCATGGGGTAGGATTCACTGCCTATAACCCCACCCCCGCCCCGTGCCAGCGCCCCTCATAACTCAGGGGACAGCAGAAATCATATTGAGAAAATGAGACCCCAGATCGCACCCCCCCCCCAAAAAAAACCCCCCACACATTTTGCACCTGATCAGGGGAGGGGCAAATTGCCAGGTTAGGTGCTTTATAATCTGCAAACTGAAATTTCAGATTAATATGGATTTGTACAGAAAATCCCTTAATTGTAAAGTGAAGGCCTAGATCTACATCACTAGCAAAATGCCCCCCATCTGTTAGGAAATGTTCAAAATACTAAAATTGCAAATTGATACAGAAGGGTGGAGTTGAGGGGGTGTGGCTAAGTTTGCCCCCCCCCCCCGACCATAATTCTTTACTTAATGGGGAAAAAAAACATTTAATTAAGTTCCCTGAATAACTTCATCAGTTGACTGTCAATATTGCAAATCTTAAGAGATTCACTGCTTCAGGTCTTTGGACTTTTTATGCCTGGCTACAACCATGGCAACAGAATTAGCCATCCACCGTGACCCCTTTTACAAATCTTGGGACAGCCACGCCCCCTTTGGCAAATGATTCGAGCGCAACACCAGTGATGAAATACATTATCTCATTGAACATCTCATGTGGACTTGCGGACCCTAGTACTAGTGCTACTGGTCCCTGGGATCAACAGACACAAACTAGACTTGCTGGATATTATGAGCACGAGCTAGCATGCAGTGCAGAAGATAAGAACCAGCAGCAACCTCGTCCCCAGGGTGTCGAGCAGTACGCGCCCACCACTACCTGCTCTCTATTGGAAACGCGATTGGAAATAAAGTAAGCACTGGGGACGAGGTTGAACCAGCAGGGACGTACCTTTAGGAAACTAAGTGCGCCCTCTACGGGCGCCGCCAAATAGTGGCCGGACAGCTGACGAAATCTCCAATGTCATGACTGTCATTCAGCTTGACTGTCATCGTGAAAAGGCAAATTTCATCCACGTTTTACGTGTAATTGCAACATTACAGGAAGCTCCTCTGAGAGTGTCTACACGTAAGGAGATCTTTCATTCTTGGCTAGCATCTGATAAAGGTAAGATTCTGTTTTGTTTTTGAACAACCGCAACCATGTCCATGCTTAGCTGGAGTTACCCAGCCCTGAGTTTTATCATTGGGTTGTCTATTATTAGGGCTGGAGCAAATTTTTCTCAAAACTTGTAGTATTTGCAAAAAAAAATTGAAAAATGTTCAATTTTGTCCCCATTACACACTAATTGCAACTGCAACTCACCCCAAACTTGCCTGGAATAACCATTACACAGGTCCTTGAAGTAAAAAACGATCCACGATGAAGATTCAGCCTCCAATTGCAGTGAAAACAGGAGGAATAACCGCTAACTTGACAACCTTGCTGGATTGGCCAGGACCGCTATTGGTTTGTGCACAAAAAAAATTGTGTACAATGAATGGCGGTCGATTACCATGCACGTACAGCTCGCTGGTACTAGGCGTTTTTGCGGTCGGTGCATGACGTGACGCGGAAGCGTAATACCCGATGACTGTTTCATGCATTAATAAGAGGTTCACTCGCATCACAGTGCGGTACTGGAACGGCAGTAACACTGCACTATGAATGCACGATAGCCGGCCAACTCAACGGTTGCCGTTCCAGTACCGCACTGTGATGCGAGTGAACCTCTTATTAATGCATGAAACAGTCATCGGGTATTACGCTTCCGCGTCACGTCATGCACCGACCGCAAAAACGCCTAGTACCAGCGAGCTGTACGTGCATGGTAATCGACCGCCATTCATTGTACACAATTTTTTTTGTGCACAAACCAATAGCGGTCCTGGCCAATCCAGCAAGGTTGTCAAGTTAGCGGTTATTCCTCCTGTTTTCACTGCAATTGGAGGCTGAATCTTCATCGTGGATCGTTTTTTACTTCAAGGACCTGTGTAATGGTTATTCCAGGCAAGTTTGGGGTGAGTTGCAGTTGCAATTAGTGTGTAATGGGGACAAAATTGAACATTTTTCAAATTTTTTTTGCAAATACTACAAGTTTTGAGAAAAATTTGCTCCAGCCCTAATAGACAACCCAATGATAAAACTCAGGGCTGGGTAACTCCAGCTAGTCCATGCTGATGAAATGCAGTTTCTGCACTGTCATGCTGAACATATGGTTTATAAACTTGAAAGAAAGTTGAATGGTATTGGTAGCCAGGTGAACTCCGCACTACGTTTACGTCGTTCAACCTGGGCGAAGTGAATGGTTAAAGCTGCTCTTTGTATTTTTTTATTGCTCCAAAATGACTTGTGAAACCTCAAGCTGTCTTCCTCAAGGGAAAAAAAATGTTGCAACCTCAGGGCTGCCGGCTGCCAACTTTCAGTAAGAGCTGAGAGTGAGAGTGAGAATTTTGGGAACGGGGCCCGCTTATTGGCCCCGACCCCAAAATTGTTAAACTTTAGAAGCTCTCTGGTGCATTTTAGAGCAAATCTGGGGGGTCTTTAAGGCAGATTATTCTTTAAAATTCAGAGGAGATTTATAATATTGTTTTTGTTATAAAAAAAACAATGAACATTTCACAAACAGTACAACTTCCTGAACTGGAAAAGTATGGATTAAGTACAGTAGGCCTTGGTTTCAAATTCTGCTTCCGATTACATGCCGGCAAGATTACCATATGCGAAGTTCACTAATTTTCCTCTGTATTGACTAACAAGCCCCCAGATAGCAATTTCATGTCATCAAAGTCAATTTGAGCAGTGAGAAAATACAAGCATTTTCTTAGAAAACACTTAGAATTTTTCAGTCCACTCTCATAGGGTTTGTACACAGAGTGTTGAGTGAACTTCGTATATATGGAAATCTTTCCTATGCCCTTCTGCCGGGCACACGACGTTGTACCTCTCCATTTTTTGGCTTTCATAAATGAACAACCAACCTTTTCAAAACTTAAAGGCAAGATGATTAAATAGATTCAGAGAACTCTGAAAATGGAAAATTTGTTTCATTCCTGAAATGGAAAACTTGGTGTCAAAATTTGTTTTAAATTTCTGGATTTTTTTTTTCATGCAACCCTCCGACAACACTGAGTAATAAATCGTTATGAAATTATGTCTGTACAAGTTTCTGGTAAATTCTTGACTTTTAAATTTCTTTGTTTCTTGTTTCTTTTCTTGACAATCATTTAGCTTAATTGCAAACCAGTCAAGCTGCACACTACAGTCGATCATGTCAGCAGCATTGATTGTGCCACTATCTCTGGTCGGTGGCTACGCTGTGTTGTCCGTGGTACTTCTACGGTTTCCCCTTCTGATTCACCGGAAGAAACAGACCAAGATCAATGCCAGGCTGATAGCCCATAGAGGGGGTAAGTCAAAATTAAGAGCAAAGAGTTTTGAGTTATCCAATGGATTTTCTATTCAACAACAATTGACGGGAATAAGTTTTTACTTTGAGTTAGAAGAGTTTTTGAGTTAACAGGTTTTGACTTATCCAGATTTCACTGTATCTCATATTGATCTCTGGTTCAATTTGTCAAGTTTATCTTGTATTCCACCTCACAGCTAATTCTTCAACTGCAGTACATACATTTTGTGACTTCAGGTTTTCCTTTATAGCACACCTACTAAGTCATCCGTTAGGCCTACTAATGTATTAAAAATAAATATAAATAAGGGACTGAGAAATTTGGCTACAAAAGAATTTAATCTGTGACTCCCCACTGACTATTTGCACCTCCAACAAAGTGGCATTAACTCTAACCCCCTAGTACTTCCTCAGGACTACCCTGCTAAATCCAACAGAGTCCAACCGGACTTTCCTGCTCAATCCACTGTGCCTCATTTTCAGTTGTCCGCTGAATCCAACGGAGTAAAACGTGGCATTATAATGCGGTTCAGTTGCCTGCTGAATCCAACATTTTGCATGAGGAATGTACACAAGGGGTTAACTGCTCAATCCAACAGGCTCCATCGGGTATGTGACGTAGTTGGATCCTGTTGGATTCAGCAGGGTTAGGGTTAATGCAGGTGTAGACGTACATTCAGTCTTCCTCAAATGTTGGTCTAATTCTGCACTGACAGTCTTGCGTCTGCTTTGTTATTGCAGGGGCTGGTGAGCATTTGGAGAACACCATCACAGCATACAAGCAGTAAGTGTACTTCTTGAAATGCAGACAGTTTCACCATTTTCTCGGCTTTAGTTTTTCCTCTCATTGTTTATAATTTCAGAAGAAAAGTTCTGATACCCACAGGGTTTTTGTTGTTTTATATCAGAGCAGTGGTTTAGTCCAGCAATCACAAGTCAAATCACAATTTACCTTTGAATGACTTGTGACCTGACTCCAGGGCTGTGCAGTTACGGGTAGTACGGGCACCGGGTACCCGACTAAAAAAACACGGGTACCCATTAACCCTTCTGCTATTTAAGCCGTCACGGACAGTCAAAATTCACTACTACTTCCTAGTCACCAACAGTCAGATCACATGTCAAGCAAGTACTGTGTCGAGTCAAACTGGGTCAACAGACAAAGCAAGCAAGTTATGCTCACAGCTGTTTTATCACTCACCCGGAGTCAAAGCATAGCTGTATCAAGTTACTTAATCAGTCCCAGGCAGTCATTCCTGCTTTATGTGGGCTGGGGATTCTTAAGGGTTGAAAACAGTCACTTGATTGATTTTGGCTGCAAGGACAACTTTGCACAGAATGTACGTTTGCATATAGAGGGTTAAATACATACAACCCCAAAATTCATATCTCGGAAGTTTCTGCTCAGATTGTTCATAAAACGCATGTTAGTTTCCACATCGGTGCGTCAGTGCAGCAATTTATGTGTGTACAGTGAGCTTTATAGCTTTATGGTGAAAACTGCAACTTTCACGAGCCTCATCACATGACACCTGTTTTGTTTTGCCAAATAGGCCGGTTTTCACTTTGAAAATTCCCCACAAATGACAAATGAATGACATTCAAAACTTTCCTTTTTCATTGTCTGAGAAATTACTAAGGAATTTGTAAGGTTGGCTACGGGTACCCGATCTGTAAATTTGGAACCGGTTCCCGACATCAGGGATCGGGTACACGGATATCCGGGTACACGGATATCTGGGTACACAGATATCGGGGCACACTGATATCCGGGTACACGAATATCCGGGTACACGACCCGATTCCGATACACAGCCCTACCTGACTCCAGACTAGGTGACCAGTGATTGACTATAAAGCTGTTGTGTGCTCCAGTACACATTATGTGGATGGTATTTGTGCATGTTACTACACTGATTACACATTTTAGGAGGTACTGAGTGTCATTCTTTTTTTTCTGCAGTGCCATGAATTCTGGAATGGACATGCTGGAAATTGACTGCCAGATCACCAAAGACAAAAAGATTGTGGTGTCTCATGATGATCATCTAGAGAGGGTGACTGGAGTGGACAAATTCATCAGCGAACTAGATTTTGAGGTATGTAAAACAGAACTCTACTCTTTCTTTTAAAGTATTTTTTAACATGGTCTCAGTAAAATGGGTCAGTCAGTCATGTTCAGTCAGTTCGTCGACTCAAACAGGCGTGGCTTGAGAGGAGCACGATGCCTGACGTGCCACACGTCAGGGTCGCCCATACAGCCGGTCAGCTCTTCCTTGGTGTTGACTTCTGTGTCTTCCATGTGGCTCTTGACCATCATTGTCAAAATTTCTTAGGCTAAGACAAATAAGACAGTTTTGCCTGTTGGAAACTCCCGTGCATTTTCTAATGAAGTTTGTTCGTTTAACTAAGTCAGATTTGTGGATTTTTTTTTCATTTGTTCAGGAATTACCCCTCATCACTCAATCACTACCGGTTCATTTCTGTAAAGGTAAGTACTATCTGGTTCCTGTCAACACAGGAACCCCTCGCGTACGTTTGGTGTTCCTAGGTGTCTACATTAAATTTTGGGAATTTCTAGATGGCTACAAGAAACCTTTGTCATGCAAGCATTAACAAAACATGTAAAACGATAAAATCATACTTCTTGCTCGAGAATATTATGAGTATCAAATGAATTTTTTTTTTTGCAGACTAGTGATTTGTCCTAAATACTATTTTTGTTTGTTAGGCAAATTAGGACCGAGTTGTGGGGACTTTCTGCTGTCCCCACAGCGTCTTCGGTCCCCATAGTGCCATGGGACCACTCGTGTGTAGTCCCCACAACTAGGGAACAAGTATGTCTGTACTTGTGTCTGTGCTCATGTAATAGTCTAAATAATGAAAGGTTTGCGGAAACACCATTTGTGAATAATTTCTCAACTCAGAGAATGGTTCTGAAAAGAACCAGAGGTATAAACTCGATGTTCCGGTCAGTATGCTCTGACCGTCTTCAGGAGAATGCCTAAACTCTAAGAAGGAAAACACTTATGTAGCAGAAGCGAAAGCGATGAAGTGTGAAGTTGCATCCTGTGTGGATGCCAAGTAGCTGGGATCCTAGAGCAAGCTTGCTGCCCACTGAAGTGGAACAGTAGGGTGGCAGTCTCAGGAGAGGGAGGACCTAGGGTATAGGAGACCCATCAGTCTAAGGTGAAGGTTAAGGACCTAGGGTATAGGAGACCCATCAGTCTAAGTTGAAGGTTAAGGACCTAGGGTATAGGAGACCCATCAGTCTAAGGTGAAGGTTAAGGACCTAGGGTATAGGAGACCCATCAGTCTAAGGTGAAGGTTAAGGACCTAGGGTAGGCATTCTCCTGAAGACGGTCAGAGCATACTGACCGGAACGTCGAGTTTATACCTCTGGTTCTTGTCAGAACCATTCTCTGAGTTGAGAAATTATTGGCACATGGTGTTTCCGAAAACCTTTCATTATTTAGTATCTCCACCATGCAAAGCCTCAAATCTTACTTGTAATAGTCTACTTTATACTGTATTCCTGATACTCATATTCATGTACATAGCTACAGCTATTATTGATCATCGTTTATGTTTTATTTTTACAAAAGGCCAGACTGTCTGTGGCAGTGCGTCAGACAGGAAAATCCCCCTCCTGCAGGAGGTGTTTGAGACGTTTCCCAGTGTCCCCATCAACTTGGACATCAAGAGAGATGATGATGAACTCATTCACAAGGTGAGTAGACAATCTGGACCTGCTAAGCCTTGCACACACAGTGTTTAGTCAAGTCCTTCACTAAACTAGAGATTACTAAGTTACTAAGTGGTTCGGGAATCTTATTGTTTACTACACGCCTTGCCTGTGCCGTTGTCACATGAAAATCCGACTCCTATGAAAATCGGACCCCTTTTCCCTTTTATTGGTTAATCCCTCTCACGTGACCGGTCACTTTCCTAATTATCATACTTACGCATGCGCACTATTACCAATGAGTCCGATTTTCATAGAAACCTAAATTCACGCTACACCGTCTTCTTCTTCATTCATTCATTCATTTTCATGATGACTTGATGAGTTGGGCCCAACTGTCCCTGTCGAGCATAGTGTTGGAAAGAGATGGACCACTCAGACCAGTTTCTAGCTCGATGGATGTTTTCAGGGTCATGTTGGGACGACCTTTTCGTCGAGGGGCTTCAGGATTCCAGAGGAGAACTTGACTAGCTGGCTCATTATGTCGATAAACGTGACCGGCTAGCCGAAGGCGACGCTGTCTGATGGTGGTGGAGATAGGGGGAAGGGCACCATACAGAACAGAGTTAGGGAGATGTTGTTGCCAAGAAACGTTCTGAACAGCCCGCAACATCCGTGTATAGGTGCCATCATCCGTGTATCAGGTGCCGTCTTACCTGAAGCATAATTGGCCTATTCCTCCAGCATGCTTTAAAGTCGGGCAGAACGTACAATGTAGCGCATGCACGTGAATATTTAAATTAGCTTGACCTCTCTGTCATAGGTCATCAGGTTAACAATACGCTGGAGAGTGCTGGTATAGATCTCAAAGACTCTAAAATCACCACTGCATCATGAGAGATTTTGAGACAGCATGTGCTCAAGCAGGTCCATCACAAGTCCTGATATGTCCATTAATTTACATGTACATGTATGTCATCCAGTCCTAAGTCAAGTAAAACATATACACCAATCCAACTTTGGAATTACAGTGACGTTTCTGGTAGCCTGGACGTTTCTGGAAGATATCATATTTTTTTTGTTTTATGCTTTAATTTGGAACAGGTTCTCGACATGATCATAGAGTACAAGCGAGAAGAAATCACAGTTGTAGGCAACTTCTCTGAATCTGTGGTCCAGAAATGTCACAAAAGAGTAAGTTTGATTTAAAAAAAATCTAGCCGCCAAAAACAAGAATATATTTTAGTTATACATTATCGTTTAAAAGTTAAACTCATAGTACTCGCAGCAAATGATTGATTCGGGCAAGTCACAGTGCGCCACCAAGAGTTTGCCACAGAGAGATTATTTTTTCGAGTGCATTGTAGGAGATGGTCGACAAATTTGCAGCGCGGGACATTTGAAGTTGTTCGTTTTTTGGTCAGTAGTTTCGTAAGCGTGTGATTCGAGTATGTGTAATGTGTTTGCCCTTTCCTTTTCTTTTTATCAATATGGTGTGTTTTTTTTAAGGCGGCAGAACACTATGCCCCAATCTATAACAAATTAGCTCAAGTTGTCTACTGACACTCATTCAAATGGGCCACGTTGTGTCGATCGTCAACTTGAAAAAATGGACTCTCCATGGCAAACTCTTGGTGGTGCACTACCTTGTGAATCGCCCAAATTGTTCAAATGCCATTGATGTTTCATTTAAAAAAAAAAATGTATATGAGGTATATTTGATATACACTGAACAATGCTTATTTTTAAATATAATTTCAAGACACAAGTTACTCTCAAATTTTTCAGATAATCTGGTGAATCCTCACCGTACCTCAGGTCAATCTAGTCAAGTCTTAAATCAATCTAATCTCTTCTCAAGTCCTAAGCTAAGAAGTTAAGTACTTTAGGTTAAGTTCTCATCACTATGAATTTCAACACCGTGAAAATATAGTTTACAATGAAGTCGCCGTGAGTAAGCTCATTTTCACGGTACCAAACTGGGCCCCTCAGCAGGGAATAAGCTCACTGCAGTTTCACGGTGTTTTTACATGGGTCTTCTGGAGGTCCAAGGGTCTATTGTTATTTATAACTGTGCAGCAGGTCCAGCTTCCCTCCACTGAAGGTGTGAAAACCACAGATTAATGGTCTGAGTGATTACGGGATTAGTGTGATTGACAGCTACACTTACTACCCACTGCCCACTGCCCAAGTACACAAAAGCTACAAAGTGTCCTCCTACAAATATCCACCATCCTGTTTATTGTGATCAACTAATTAAGATTGAGGGGGATTAGTCCCCAAAGTTGATAAACTGCTCAACGGATTAACGCAGCCACAAAGTTAATGAGCTGGGCTCCACAGGAGGCGTCACTGCATTTTCATGATGTTTTTACTTGACCTTAACATGTCCTGGTTATGTGATGATTTTCAGGGCGATTTCACCAGATACTTCGCAATGACATTGCCGTGAAAAAAAATTCACGGTGAATTCATGTCAAATTATATATTCACTCCAAATTCACGGTGTTGAAATTCATTGTTCAGTTTTGATCGAGTTGTCGCAGGAATCTTCCAACCTTGAAAATGTAAAACACCTTGCTGATGTAAACTTGTCTCTTGAAATTTAACCTTTAACCCTCCTCCCAGGATCACGTCCATCCCCTCATATTCAGCCTAGGAGGCATCGGCAAGCTGGTGCTACTTTTCTACTCGGGACTCCTTCCCTTCTGGCCTCTCAAAGAGACCTTTGTTGAAATCCCTTTAGATTCGGTCATCAAATTCAATTTGTAAGATTGTTCAGTAGATTTTCCGTTCACCTCATTCTGTCCGTGGTTGTCATGGTGAACATGTAATTGCATGATGGGATGCGTCACAGGTTTGCGTTTATATCAAGTGTACTAACTCCACAGTCTGTGTGTAATTTCACCACACATAGAAGGCCTTTTCACACTAGAGCCTCTCATCAACCGGGGTTAAACTCAACCCTGGTCAAACTAAACTCAGTGCCACCCCGGGTTGATTTTTTTAATTTTTAATCCTCACATTGTTTCATGCAAACCGAGCTTATTTTGCTCCAATACTACTGTAGTGTTGTGAACCTGACAGGAGTTTTGATCTGGGTTGAAAATCTCAACCCTGGTCTGGAGCAGGGTTGAGTTCAACCCGGGGTGAAGTCAATATCAGGGTTGGCACAGGGTTGGCGCTGGTTTGCACAGGGTCGGCGCAGGGTTGGCGCAGGGTCGGCGCAGGGGTGACGCAGGGTTGGCACAGGGTTGACGCAGGGTTGGCGCTGGGTTGACACAGGGTTGACACAGGGTTGGCGCAGGGTCGGCGCAGGGGTGACGCAGGGTTGGCACAGGGTTGACGCTGGGTTGACGCAGGGTTGGCACAGGGTCGGCGCAGGGTTGACGCAGGGTTGGCGCTGGGTTTGCGCTGGGTTGATGCAGGGTTGACGCAGGGTTGGGACAGGGTTGACGCAGGGTTGGCGCTTGGTTGACGCAGGATTGACGCAGGGTTGACGCAGGGTTGACGCAGGGTCGGCGCAGGGTTGACGCAGGGTTGGCACAGGGTTGGCGCAGGATTGACGCAAGGTTGGCGCTGGGTCGGCGCAGGGTTGGCGCAGGGTTGACGCAGGGTTGGCGCTGGGTTGACGCAGGGTTGGCACAGGGTCGGCGCAGGGTTGACGCAGGGTTGGCGCTGGGTTGACGCTGGGTTGGCACAGGGTTGACGCAGGGTCGGCGCAGGGTTGACGCAGGGTTGGCACAGGGTTGGCGCAGGATTGACGCAAGGTTGGCGCTGGGTCGGCGCAGGGTTGGCGCTGGGTTGACGCAGGGTTGGCGCTGGGTTGACGCTGGGTTGGCACAGGGTTGACGCAGGGTCGGCGCAGGGTTGATGCAGGGTTGGCACAGGGTTGACGCAGGGTTGGCACAGGGTTAAAAGTGTGATCGTGAAATGCCGCATGTTTTTAACCCGGCCCTGCGTCAACTCCGCGTCAACCCCAAGATTTGTCTAGTGTGAAAAGGCCTTTTGTGGCATCAAAACAGGTCAATGGCACAAGGTAAAGGAAGGTGGCAAGCAAATGGTAAACAGTGTGAGTCATATTAATTAATTAATTCTCATTAATTGTTTTTCCTTTTTTTTGTTTTAAATAAAACTTACTGGGAAACGAAAATGTACAGGCGCCGCAAATCCCGACGATTATGAGCATGAAGACGGCGTTTAAAATGCTGGGGGCCTTCTACGTTGGCCTCCTGCCGTTCCTTGATTTCGAGGAGGAATTCCTGGAGATTCCCATGGGAAGAGAATTGATCAAGAGCTTGTAAGATGCTTGGCTTGGGTGGTGTGTGGATTTGTCAGTTGTGTAGTCTATCTCTTTCTCTTGTCTTGGTGGCGCTGTTTTACGGTGTTGGGGCTGACTAAAAAATGTCTTTTTTAAAAATTGGTGAGAGTTCAATTTTCAAGGTTGGGGGTTGAAGAAGGTGTTCGGAATGCTCGTGAAATTTGCTGCTTTCATCTGGAATGCCTGGTACTAGCTTTAACAGCTTTTTAGCTTTTTATGTGAGATTTGGACCTTTTGTGTGACGATACAGCACACATGCACAGTGTAGTCTTGTTACCACTCATACTTTTGCAGCCTGTAGCCACATGTAGTGAAATCAGAAGTTTTCGCTTTATTATCTCTGGACCACCATGTGTAGGACATGCTGTTATTCTATGCTGTTATTAGTAAAACATGTAGCACCTTCTTGCAAAAACTCAATTTATGCACCATCACCTGGTTCTGGCTTTTGATCGATCCATTTTAGTCACAATTTCAATTCTTTGTGAAAGTGCATGGCCGTGTAGACATGAATGGTAGATGGTATGTATTGATGTACTTTTGTATGTCAGCTTATGGTGTTTGGGGCTCTTTATAAAATGTTGTCAAAACAGCTCTCTTGCTAATTAGACAATTAGCAATTAGCAATGCTCCACTGAATGTCTGCATAAAAACAATTAGTTACAAATCGGTCAATTGCAACCGATCAAAGACAGATTTGTTCTTGTACATGACCGTCAAAACCCACAATTTCCAAGTCTAATCATGCAATTGACACACAAGATTTTTTTTATCATGTACATTGTGTAATATTACAAATCACTGTTGTGCACTGAAACAAGCAGGTCACAACCTAAAAGCTTTTAATTGATGCAAATTTCCTACGTCAGTTCAGCAAATTTCCCCAAACACATTCTAGCAACATAAAGTCTACAGCAACCAGTTTCACGAAGCGCTGCGACGCGTCGCAACTCGAGTTAGGACGTGTAACACGTCGCAACTCGCGACGCGTCGTATCATCCATTTCACGAAAGTTGCGATGTGTTGAACGCGTCGTAAGTTCCTTGACAACGGCTTAAAACACGTCGCAAGTTAAGACGTGTCTAGTGGTCGTCGCTAAATAAGAAGAGTCATTTCTAAGCCAGTTTTATGCCATAAACATTACATTAGCGAGATTATAATACCAACTTTCACTCGGGAGGTCACACACTGAGTATACAGCGTTCAAACGTCGGTGAAGGGCAAAACCTAATTTGACTTATAATACCGAGGCAATGTGTGTAAAGTTGAAAATAGGAAATTCATTGAATAATTATGAATTAGACCGGAATATTAGAGTTGAAATTTCAAAGTAGCTATACAGTCCAATGAGAGCTTGTTTTCCTTCAAAATTGCATCGCACGGCCGCCATTTTGTTTTACGTTTTAACAAATTTCGAGCTGAGATCCGACGACTGTTTGTTGAATATCAGACGACTATTTACTGTACGCTGACTAAATACATAAAACAGTCATCGAGTTGTGCTATAAATACACCTATGACGCGTCGCACTTATGACGTGTTTCGTGAAACGGATCGCAGGACGTGTCGCAGCTGTGACGCATCGTAGAGGTACGACGCAGTCGCATCACTGCGATGCATCGTAAGTTACGAAGAGTTTGATGAAATCGGGTGCAGGACATACATGTATAATGGATACTCTTAAGGTTGGTGGCATATAATGGATACTCTTAAGGTTGGTGGCATATAATGGATACTCTTAAGGTTAGAGACCAGGGCCCAATCTCACGGCCCTGCTGACCACAAAATTCCGCGCTTACGATCACCATTTGGCGAATAACAACGCTAGCAGAAAAAAATCTGCGCTAAGCCTGTAAGCACAGAATCCTTAGTTACGGGATGTATGCATGCGAAGGAGCCAACAAATCCTTGCTTACCCCTGAAATACGCTTACTGTTAACACAGAATTTTCTGCTGCATTTAGTATAGATTTTGCTCTAACGGTAAGCACATGTAGCCATGAAATTGGGCCCTGTAGTTGTGTACATGTATTACAATGAACCACTGGTACCATCTTACCCTAACATTACATTAATTACACCTGTCTGCTAATTGATTGACTCAAATGTTTGTCGTGTTCTGTGTCAGTTGCACTCAGCTCTGCAAATAACTCTTACAAGGATTCTTGGGTATAAAGGTTTTGCTTTTTCAGACTTACAAACGACAAATCCTCCACCCCCCCAAAAAAAACTAAAAAAAATTGGCATTTCTCTTCCCATAGGATTATGTCAAAGGGCTCAAACCCATAACATTGCATAGTATTCATGAAACATTGCTGTTAATTTTGAATGAGTTTAACAACCCGTGTTGTAATCCATGCCTTTACATGTTCACCAACGTACCCATTACTAATGCATTGACAAACACATATCGCTTTCATTTCTTAAAGAATACTTTCCTCTTTTTTAATTTGAATTTTTTATTTTTTTTGTTTTCAAATTTGATTTTGTTTTCAACTTCCTTCTTCCATTTTTGGTTAACTTGAACTTTTGGGGTTTTGTTCTTTAATTTTTTGTTTCATCTACAAAGTTTCCTTTGACTGTTTGGCTTTTGCCTGAAGTTTATCATTTTTAGGCATTGGTTCCTTAATAAGGGGATCATAGTTTGATGGAGCTGTTATAAATATGTGGTTTAAAACCAGTTAGGGGTCCGATAATGACTGAGGGCAACGACTATAATCGCCGACAAGACCCCTAACTGATTTTAAATATCATGTTTATAACTGCTCAATCGCACTATTATCCCCATTCATCAATACCTTTTCGATCAGAAGCCATACAAAGTCAAAAAATTGACAAAAATTTCAACCTGAGACAGTTTACAGCGAGAGACAATTTTGTTCTATCATTTTACTCCATGTTTAGATCGGGCCACTCATGGTCTGCAACGTCTGCGCGATGTTCTCAACATCATGCTTTATATGGAGATCACATCAGTGGTCCTCAAGCAGCTGGCGGTAGCCGGCTGACGCGCGTCGTGCGTACTGCGCTCATATGGTACAGAGAGCATTTTTAAACACTGGTCTCAAGCATCGCTGACCAGTGTTTAAATTGCAAGTTAATTAAGAAACACCCATGTGATGGGCTCTCGACCAATAGGAAATGGGGTAAACTGTCTCATCAGGTATTTATGAATTCTAAATAAGTTCCAGTTAATTACTTTCAATCAGTCTAGTGGTTGGCCAGCTCCTTCTGTGCCGACTAACAAATATTCATGCAAAAATGAAAAACCCTGCAAAAAGTTTTGAATATGAGATATACATGTTATATTAGCTGTTTATTAACCAGTTCGCGTCGGATGACGTGTATACACGCAAAGGTTTTGCGGTATTTGAAACGGATGACGGATAAACACACAACGAGTGAGGCCGGAAATATCTGTCTGCGACCCGCTTGCAGCGAGCGAGGCCGGAAATATCAGGGTGTGCTACCCTTAGATGACGGCCTGAACCCGTCTGGCATCGAAATTCGTGAAAAACAATCCTGCGATTGGGTCCGGTCAATGTCAAAATAATCCCGGCATGAAGTGGTTATTACAGATAATATATATTGGCTCAAAATGGTACTCACTGGAGACAAGCCAATACATGTATATCTTGAACACCAAAGTGCATTGTTTTTTTCCATCTAATAAATTCAAATAACTCTGTTCTCAAAAAGAGTATTTTTTGCACTCATTTATTTCTTTCAAAACCCTCGGCTTCGCCAGTGACCTCCAGAAGCGATGGCAGAAAGCCCTGCTATGGATGCTGGACTTCCTGCTGATCAACAGTGTCTTGTTCAGGCATCTGCAGAGGCGAGGAATTAAGGTGGGTGTGTAGAGGGAGCGATTGAAATTCTTATCGTTTATATCAAAGAGGTTTAGTTTGAATGAACCCATTCATCTGCTTTGCACTCTTTTGGGCTTTAAATTTGCATTTCCCACTTTGTTTAAAATAATGATAATAGTTGGAAAGATCATTCACACAACTGGGTTATTCTACAAATTTAAAGCTATAGTCCATCATTTGCAGCCATCCGAAAAGTAACTGGCGTAACTATTGTTGAAAAACAAACTTAGTTGAAAAATAGTAAGGGAACTAAACTTCCTGTGAAATTATTCTTTCTGGGAAACTGTCATTTTGAAGTAATCAACGAAAGAAGGCATTTCCAACGGTGATTCTTAAGAAGCACCGTAGGAAATTTAAATTAGTAGTTCGTTTTGTTATTCAGCGCAGCGCGCGCAAGTATTGGAACGACGCACACGCGCACGCGATTGTTATAATTCGTCGGATCAGTGCGTGACGTCGCGTATAGCTGCAATTCAAAACATAATTCAGTAACTTTTGATTTGAAATTGAGATCTTAGAATGCTGTTTTTCTCGGAATGTACAGCTGAAGCTTAGCTGAAACTTTATCAGGTTAGTTGCTTAGTATCCTTTATTAGATTTTGAACTCTTTTGTTGCTTCAAACGAACAAAATGCACAAATTACAAATGATGGACTATAGCTTTAAGGTCCAAGTGTGACTTTTTTTCCTGACCGAGTTTACCTTGGTACTTGTAATTTGCCATTCAAGTATCATTACAAATGACTGCAGACAATATTCTAATTGTTCAAGTTGGGAACGTACTCTGCTATTCATAATCACTTTTGGAGGACGACTGCATGAAGGAGTGCATCAGAATAATAAAACCATAGATGTGAGATGTAACAGGGATGTTTGAAAAAAAGTGGACCCCCAATTTTTAGAATACCCAACTACATACTATACCCAACTACTATACTTGAAAATGTGTGGTTTCACGTATTCAAGTTTGAGGGTACACAATTTGGGACCTCAAATTCAAGCTGTGAGAGCGCTAGTCGTAGATTTCTTTTTCCAATTTGGTCGTGGAGTGTCTTGGCCTCGTGGTCTGGAGCATTGTATTTGTGGTCTGCGGGTAATTCTGCAGGTTGTGGGTTCAAGTCCAGCCTGGGGTTACGGTGCGGATGCCCTTGGGCAAGGTATGAATGCCCTTGGGCAAGGTACTTTGTCAATATTGCTTCTCCCCACCCAGAAGTAGAAGGGTACCTGTGAGTGCTGAGATGGTTTTTGTGGTAGATTTTAGCTGCTTTGCCCCAAAATGGCAGCATCGAGCTGTATACTCCCCAGGGAGCTGAGATTGTCTTTGGAATGTTTCATTGGCCCAATGAGCAGGGTAATAATGATGCACATGTACTAGTAGTGCCTTGAGCACCAATACTGGTGGATATGTGTGCTTGTCCAGTGTAAATTGGTACTTGCGCACAGAAAATTGATCAGGCAAATTAATGAGAGTTACTTGCTCGTCCTTTTCTTGGACAGGTTTACGTGTGGGTGCTCAACTACGAGACACAGTGGGACAGGGCCATGAGTAAAGGCGTGGACGGCATCATGACCGACTACCCTGTCAAGCTGGCCGAGTACATGCGTGAGAAGGGCCACTGGCAGGACGGACAGTCGCAGCAAAATAGCGACAACTATCACACATTTGATAACGGAGTGGAACAGCAGACTGGTACCAGTAAATAGATAAGGACCGTTGGTTTTTGAAGTGTTGAAGTCAAGGTACTTGTGATAGACCAAAAGTCCATTGCAAGTCATCCAGTCCCAAGCTTAGTCGCAAGCTGTTCACATAAACTGTGACAAAACATTCCTTTGTTGTTGTTCATCCAGTGTTATTTGGGACTGGATTGGGAATTGAATTGTGATATACATTACAGTGGAACGCCGCTATTACAAACATCGTGGGATCCACAGAAAGTGTACGTAATAACGATTGTTCAGTATAGCGATTTTGAACCACCGGTACCCTCTTTTGACATGTTTGACCAATAGTGAACTGGCATTTCTCACATCCCGCGGCCGCACGAGGAGTCGTCATGAAACTTTTGCAAGGGCTGGATTTCCCTTTTATTCCTTGGGGAAATAATAGCTATCTATCGCTCTTCAACATTTAAACACGATGTAACTATGGGTCGTTTGATGTTGGGAAATTAAAAGTGGCCTAAATAGTGTTTAATACTTGTACAACCGGTAGATTGTTTTTGTTAATCTGTTGGTTTTTTTCCAACAACAATGTTCGGTATGTTTTGTACATTCAAACCGGGAGCCAAGGATGACGTTCGGTGTAGCCGATTGTTCGGTATAACGGTGTTCAGTATAGCGGCATTCCACTGTATTAGTTATCCTGCAAGTGGAACACGGAATAATGTAGCGCGTCTGTGTCCCACATACCACAGATGCACTACATTTTCCATGTTCTACCAGCTCGAGCGTAATAACGAATTTATCTTCAAGCAAACTTGAAACACTAAAAAATTTAACACGCACGCAATACACAAATGGCTATCTATTACACGTGCGTGTTTGTATGGAATGGCACGTGCATCTTAGAAAAGTGCAATACGCGGGTATGGACTGTTGCCGTGCTACAAGGTTATATGTAGCACGGCTTGTTGCTATGGATCGACCAATCAGGATCGAGGATTCAAGTTTACTTGAAGATAAGTACAGTTATACAGGCACCTGTTACCTGTCACAAATACACAAACTTTTTTTATAAATCATTACCCACTTTCACAAACTTGGGAGCTGAATTGTGTGGTCAGAATGTACAAAAAGTTAAACTTTTCCTGCATTGCTATAAAAAATTACAAGGCTGAAAATGTTGCCAGCATGCAGCTGCCGTGGTCCCTTCAGTTCTGACTGCTTATCAGCACTGCCCTCATTACATGTCTATGTATTCAAACTGATATATATCGACTTTTCATCACAAGCAGTTGCCTCGTTCAGGTTATATGCTTTCCGTATGGTTATTTGTAATCTCCATTATGCCAAAAAAAGGTTCAGATGAAGAACTTTGTTGGAATTTCTGACAAGGGTGTCAATCGCTTCTCAAAAGTGGGGGAGGGGGGATATACCTCAGTGAGCACTAATGCGAGTGCGAAGCCGTGACGGTGTGGGGTTCAGGGCTCACTTAAGGGCCCCCAACAAATTTTGGATTCTAGACGCTCTGTGGTGTGACCTGAGGTAATTTCTGACCACTAAAACCAATTTTTTTTTGAGCAAAAGATCATCTTTTAAACATTATTTTCGAGTTTGGAGTATTCTGAGCAATAGAATCATTATAGTAGGCAACAATTTTTATTCGGGGACGGATTGACGCCCATGGAAGTTCAATTCCAGCAAAAGACGGCTTGTGTAGCTTGTCCTGAGGCTGCTTGTTTTGTGTATAAAAAAAAAAGACCAAAGATTCATCAAGGTGCACAATTGTTTTCTTTCCTTCGAAAATTCTGATCATGTGTGATACTCAATTGGGTAAGTAGGTCAACATTGTTACAAATTATGATGTATATATGTATGTCTTTCACTATTTTTTGAAAGCATTATAATATTTTTTCAGATCACAGAGCACTTAAAAGACATGTATTTAAGTTAATAGGGACCATTAGGAGCGTTGTGGGTGCGGGGTACGTAGGCAAAGTGGGATCCAGGGATGCTGGCCTTGCATTAATTATTTAAAATATTTTTTTAGTAACGTCACTAAAAAGGTAGCCATTGCATACACCACATATATATTAAATTTGGGGCGGAAAATATTTGACCAACTTTTTCGGGAAATAAGAAAAATGTTGGGCCCCCCCCCCCCCCCCAGTGTTCTGGATCCAGCCTTGTACATGTATATGGCTATATGTTTTCATCATTTTGTGTGGTGATTAATGATTTCAACAAACTCATATACACATCTTAAAGGGGCACTAGGTCCTGAAATCCCTGAAAATTTCTTGTTTTGTATTGTTTACTTATCCTGTTTCAAACATCGATATCTGGTTGAAAGGAAACCAACCTAATGTCTTACCGTTCCCAAGAAAAGAGAAAAAAACCTGGTTGTTTACATCGGACGCGACGGAGTACGAATAGGTTTTTCCTGTCGTTCAGTCAATGTACGATATACACGTTGTGTGTGTCTATTATAACGTACGTATATTATAGTACAGCACCGTGCTCGGGAACAGCGGTGACCAATCATCAATGCACAAAATGTGGTTTCTTACACGTCCGCGAAGGGGAACATTTTACGAATGAAATAACAACTAGCACCCAAACAGCTCGACTTTTTGGGGTCGCAAAAGTGGACCCCGAAAGTCGTTCTCGCACGCATAATACAGGAATAACACAGAACGCCCAGTTTTTAAAGGATAGTTGTGTGGATGTTTATATCCTATTTTTAAATGCTCTTTCCAATAAACATCATTTCGTTCAAAGTGAGTGAGTTTTTTAGTCCAATTGGGCTGTTCCAGGATGCAATGTCCCTTTAACCTTTTGATGTGAAATGCACATTGTTCATATTGTGCAAGATAAAATAACCATGCAAAATGGTGATTTTTACAAGCAACTATTTTTTTTTCCGAGTCGGATACTTATCGTGTATGCGCATCATTTCTAATGGTCTCTATTGTGTGTAGTGTGTGTACAGGGTGCAATTTTAAATACTTTTAATGGTTTAAGCTGCCATTTGTTTTTAATTGACTGTCAAGGCTGTGTAATAATGACACAATGTTTAACAACTTTTACTGTGTTTTAGCAAAACAATTATTTTTAGTACACAGAGTAACGAGTGATAACTCTTTTTTTGCAATTGTCATAATAACCTTTTTCTCGTATAGATTTAGCACTTTTTCTGAATTTGGAAATATTGCAAATCTGCAGAATTGAGTGTTACATGTAGTTATAAGATATTAGCACTAGTTAATCAGACCGAAATGAATTATACATAATTGTTGACACATACCATTCAAAATTACAATTGAAATTTCGAAATGAACTTTATTTTTTGCATTAATAAATGATACATGTATTTAGATTTTTATGATTGTAGTTTTTATACAAGAAACTCAAGGCCAATCCATGAAAAGCTGTTGCATGGTATAAAAGACGATTACATGGATTAAAAATTTTAAACCTTAAAAAAATAATCAGGTTCTGTCATTTTACTGTTGGCTGATGCCACTGTAGTGACTGTGAAACATTTGGTCAATTTTTAACAGTTAGGCCTAACATTTTTATGAATGCAAGGCCACATTATTGCATGTAGATTTCTTACCATTGACTAGGCTAGAGTAGAAAGAACGTTTAAAAGGTCGCACAAAATTGGTGCTAATTGTGGTAAATCTTTGAAGCTTTTGAAAAGAAAAGAGAACGATTTTAGTATTTCTTATAAAAAGGCACTTTTATCAGTTAGGCCTAACAGTTTTATGAGTGCAAGGCCACATTATTGCATGTAGATTTCATACCATTGACTTAGCCCCATAAATGTGGCCTATTTACTGGACTGCCTCCGTAAACATAGGCCACACATCCACATGTACAAAAACGTGTCGCACATTGCCAAATTTTGATTTTCACATTTAGGCTTAGTTTGTAGGGTTTTTTTGGCATTAGAAGCATACTCACCCTCTTTATAAGCTAATCAGAAAGTGCTGCCTTTTTCAGATGTCTAATTTTTGTGAAATTTCATGTTGAAATTTTGATACGCAAACGTGTGCAAATGAATCTGGAAATTTCACGAAAAATAGACATCTGAAAAAGGCAGCACTTTCTGATTAGCCTATAAAGAGGGTGAGTACACCTGTATGCTTCTAAAGCAAAAAAAACCTACAAACTAAGCCTAAATGTGAAAATCAAAATTTGGCAAAGTGCGACACGTTTTTGTACATGTGGATGTGGCCTATGTTTACGGAGGTAGTCCAGTAAATTGGCCACATTTATGGGGCTAACCATTGACTGGGCTAGAATAAAACGTTTAAAAGGTCGCACAAAATAGGTGTCCAGTTGTGGTAAATCTTTGAAGTTTTTGAAAAAAAAAAGAGAACGACTTTAGTATTTCTTATAAAAAGACACTTTATCATGCACTTAAAATGCACGTGTATAATTACTACAGTAGTTCTTCCAAAGAGTGTGTGAAAGTGTGACATCGTGTAGTTTGAATTAATATGCAGTGAGAAAATTATTTATAACAATGACTTGATCTTACAATGCAGTTACAAATTTGCGAATTCTTACCAGAGGGCTGTACATTTTATTCAAATTTCTATCAACGTATTAATTATTCATTTCAATATTTACAGTGCGTTTTGCTAACTAGTATTCGAGACTAGTTGTACTTATCAGATTATATTACAAATTTTAATCATTGATTCTAAAACTTCTGAAGAAAATCAGTGCAAAGAAAACATACTATTGCATATCTTTTGAAACTGCTATATTTTCAGACATTCTAAAATATTAAAAAAAACTTGATTAACATTCTCAATGCAATAAAAAGTAACTTAGTTCGGTTCCAAAAATGTATTGCAAATGTGCCTATTATTTTGTAGCCCTCCTTCAAGACCAGTTCATACTTCCTGTAATATCAAAGCTAATCTGACGTCATGCAGCATTCAGTCAGGGAATACCTCAGCAAAGTTTATATGTGCCCAGCACTAGTGGACTCGCAGCACGAACACTAGCTTTGATGTCAGAAACGTTATGCTAAGTTTACTTTCGCGGCGTGTATGAATCGACCTTAACCCCAACACATCATTTCTACTGGATTTCTACTCAATATTATGTCTATCCAACAAAGGAACTAAAAATCACAAATACCCCATTATTTCCTCACTGTAAAACCAAACTTCAATTTCAGAGGGAATACCATGTGTTCAAGCCTGCTGGAACACATTTTTTTGCCAGGGGGTACGGGATCTTTAGTGTATTCCAGCACCCCCATCCAAAAAGTTGGGGGTGCTGCAGCACCCACAGTTGCCCCCCCCCCCATGCATGTGTTCCCAACTTGTGAACCAGTGGCATATTACATTGGGAATACTATGAAATCTGGTCTCGTTGAGTTGACCTTATATTGACTTTAACCCTCACACGTGACCGGTCACCGACCTAGCCATCTTTACTTAGACATGTGCAGTACAATCGAGTCCACATTTCATAAAAGTCCAAATTCACACTACACCGGCAGCATTCCATTGATAACCCTTTTGCTGCATGAAGCCCGGACTGTGGGAATAGTTTGAAATATTTGGATTTTTGTTACACACCTTGAGCAAACGTGATCCGAGGCTTTGCATAGTGGAAAGCACAACTAGGGGAAAAATATTTTATAACCAAAAAATTTAACTTCGAAGAGCTTTAGTTCTCAAAACCATGTTTCATTTATTGCCAACCCACATACGGGGTTTCACACTCCAAAATCAGCCGTCTTGTACCCGGGTCAAACACAGTGATTTCAGGAAACCATGTCACACTTACAAGAATTCAGAGCGGTTTCTACACCAGTCCTGCACCCTACATGGTCAAAATCAAACCCTGGTCGGGACCCTGAGAGGTTCTATCCATGTAGAAAATCTGAAATTTACAAGCGACCTGCGTAAGTGTGAACGGTATGCCTTGGCGACCTGTGTTTGTTTGGCCGTGGTTCCGCTCACGGTGGGACCTTTGTTGATTTCAACGTGTAGGTGAGACAACAGTGAGGAAAGGCCTATGGTGTATCTGTGAAATCTTTTCCCTAGCTCATTCGGTAGATTCTGCCAATCCCCGTTTGTACACAAAGAAAGATGCTGAACCTGTGTTAACAGCAATCGGAATGCCCATCTCTCTTTCTTTAGCGATTGGGCCAGACTCATATGCTGCTGTGGGGGGATCGCCACACCTCCTCCACAGCGAGTCTGTTACCTTCCCAGCATTGAATAATGCCGGTACCCATTTAACACCTGGGTTGAGAGGAGTAATTGAGGTAAAGCGCCTTACTCAAGGGCACAACACGCATGGCCACGGCGGGGCTCGAACCCACAACCTCGCGATCATGAATCCCGTGCTCAACCGCTAGACCACACGTGCCCACCAATGTTTGTACACAACCCTTCACATTTCAATGCATCTTTAACAATTTAAGTAAATTTAAGTACTAATAGTCGAGTACAGGCCGTGTACTTGTGTGTACTCGAGTTGTACTCCAGTACGAGTACTTCAACACTGTTTATTTGGCCATGGTTCCGCTCACGGTGGAACCAGTGTTGATTTCAACACGTGTAGGTGAGACAACAGTGCGAAAAGGCCTATAGTGTCTCTGCAAAATCTTATCCCTAGCTCCATCGGTAGATTCTGCCGTAATCCCCGTTTGTACAAAACCCTTCACGTTTCAATGAATCTTTAACAATTTAAGTAAATTTAAGTACTAATAGTCGAGTACAGGCCGTGTACTTGTGTGTACTCGAGTTGTACTCCAGTACGAGTACTTCAACACTGTTTATTTGGCCATGGTTCCGCTCACGGTGGAACCAGTGTTGATTTCAACACGTGTAGGTGAGACAACAGTGCAAAAAGGCCTATAGTGTCTCTGCAAAATCTTATCCCTAGCTCCGTTGGTAGATTCTGCCATAATCCCTGTTTGTACAAAACCCTTCACATTTCAATGTATCTTTAACAATTTCATTATACAAATATTAGGATGAGAGAATAATGTTCAATCTTGTTTAGTCTTCGTCTTGGTTTTCATCCACTTCAAAGCTTTGTAGAATGAACTCAACACGGGAATGCCGATGGGTAGGAATAACGGTATGTAGATGGCAAACCTGAAAAAAGAAACAAGAACAAAACAAGTCAGGTGTGTTTACAAACACAAATGCCCCGCAACGGTGACAGTTCCCATGACATAACACCACTCTTTTAACATCAACTTACATGTACCTTGGTCACATGGAACATTCATCGACAGCATTAGTGTCTTCTGTAGGTTTTATATGAATTAATCCCTAATCCCTATAATCTCAGAATAAATACATGATTTCAATTGTTTTAGCCACTGTGAACTTGACCCTTGACCTTTTGGCCCCAAATTCAATAGGCTTCTTAGGATTACCAAGAACAATCCACAAACCAAATTTGAAGTTCATATGTTAAGTATTTCTCAAGTTATCGCGCTGACAAGATTTCTATTGTTTTAACCACTGTGAACTTGACCCTTGACCTTTTGGCCCCAAATGCAAAAGGCTTCTTAGGATTGCCAAGAACAATCCACAAACCAAATTTGAAGTTCACATGTAAAGTATTTCTCAAGTTATCGCGCTGACAAGATTTCTATTGTTTTAGCCACTGTGAACTTGACCTTAGGCCTTTTGGCCCCAAATGCAAAAGGCTTCTTAGGATTGCCAAAAACAATCCACAAACCAAATTTGAAGTTCACATGTAAAGTATTTCTCAAGTTATCGCGCTGACAAGATTTCTATTGTTTTAGCCACTGTGAACTTGACCTTTGGCCTTTTGGCCCCAAATGCAAAAGGCTTCTTAGGATTACCAAGAACAATCCACAAACCAAATTTGAAGTTCATATGTTAATTATTTCTCAAGTTATCGCGCTGACAAGATTTCTATTGTTTTAGCCACTGTGAACTTGACCTTTGGCCTTTTGGCCCCAAATGCAAAAGGCTTCTTAGGATTACCAAGAACAATCCACAAACCAAATTTGAAGTTCATATGTTAAGTATTTCTCAAGTTATCGCGCTGACAAGATTTGTCCGGACACACACACACACCCACCCACCCACACACCCACCCACCCACCCACTCTCAAATTTGTATCCTTGTGGAGACATTCCTTTGTTCTCGTGTAGTAAAGTTTTCAATTTTGAAAGTGAAGTTTCAAAATGCTCTTATTTTAACCAGAATTAGTTTCCTTGGCTGAAATTTGGACTTAATATCCCTTTTCTAAAACTCTTCCATTTGCGACAGATCAACCCACCTTGGAAATTCCTAGTTTTTGAGTAAAACCCATATATCTATTTCGTGAAAACCTTGTGGAGACCTATTCATCTATAGAAATTGCCTTGTGGAGACCTTTACAATGTTTTGTTCCCTATTGTGTGTGTGTCTCCACAAGGATACAAATTTGTAGTCACACACCCACCCACACACGGAAGGACAAGGCGGAAACAGTATGCCCCTTCGGCTTCGCCGCGGGGCATAAAAATGCAGTAGTAAAATACAAATCCCGTCGTACTACCTGATTACTGTTAAACAACGCTTTTCCTTATTTATAGATCAGAATGAATAATTGGATGGCAGGCAAAGCGATCAAAAACTGCATTTTCACAAAACCATTTGCTCAACATTATGGGCTTTTCTCCAAATTTTTTAGTCTTGAAACACTGTTGGTGCAGGCTTGTAGCCCTTTATGCAATCTGTGTTTCATCATGTGGCCTTTATGAGGAACTTAACCCCAACATACATGTACAGGGTGGATAAAAAAAACCCCGAAACCGAGATATTATTGCTTATTGGAACAGAAGTAGGGCACATGTGAATCAAAGGGAGATATCCTCTGTTAGGGTTGAATCTCCTCTTTAAAATGACACCCTGGTCATGTCATTAACATTCACGGTTGACTGAGCAGTGACCAATTTTATGAAAGGGTCTATTTAGAGACTTGCGCCACTTTTCATGGTGAAATCTCTTTTTTCCCCCACCTGCCTTGATTGGCAACCATAGCCTTTCACTCTGTGACAAATGACAACACAAAAACCACAATCATGTCAACCGTGAATGTAAGGACATGACCAGGGTGTCAATTTACAGAGGAGATTCAATCCTAACAGATGATATCTCCCTTTGATTCACATGTGCCCTACTTCTGTTCCAATTAGCAATAATATCTCGGTTTCATTTTTTTTTATCCACCCTGTATATGTACATGTATACTTCAAAACGCCTGCACAATTCTTTTGTGTGGTTAATTATAAACTCAGGGCAAGCAGGCAGATTCGGTCACGCTTCACTGCTCCCAACAGTGCTGGTTTTTTTTGTGCAGCGACTCTCTGGGTTTACTTTACCACTTCATTTTCACCTTAAACTGACCTACAGGGTTGAACTTTTAAATAATAATAATAATAACTGTATTTATATAGTGCCTTTTGCCAGAGGATACAAAGCACTGGGGGAGAATGCAACCAAAGACAGGTGAATGAAGTATATGAACATATGAGATCCATTATGTAGCACCTTTATGCTAGGTGCTGCGGTGCATATTGCTGCCACTGCCAGAAACACCGGGGCAAACCCCTTCTCTTAGCGACAAGTGTTACTGGGATATTAATGTGCATTACACAACACACGGGACCTACGGCTTTACGTCCCATCCGAAGGACGACGCAATAATGGTAAAGCGCCTTGCTCAAGAGCACAAGCACCATGTTCCCACGGTCAGGATTTGAACCCATGTACCACGGCACACGAGTCGAACACCGTAACCATTGGACCACAGCGCCCCACTTTTAAAGGGTTTTATATATTGCTCTTCCCACTAGGAGGGTAATAATGACATGAAGTAAGATATTATTATGATTCAAACATAACATTTTTTTATTTCTTTGATTGGAAAACAATTACCTTTTCTGAAAATCTGCTCTAAGGCCCCATTTGCCTTAAAGAAAAAATGATCATCTACTAGAACTTACTTTTGGTCGTCTGGAAAGTAAAGAAGTTCTAAGAGGGACGGATCAAAGAAAGCTTTCTCGGATGCAGCGATGGCCCTCTTGCTGTCATGGAAGGCTCTGTAGAGGTTGCCTCCCTGGAGGTAGGCGTGGCCCTGCTTGATGGCTGAGACTGCCTGGTAAACCTAGCAAAATGGAGCATGATCACGACATTAACAAGTGTCAAGGTAGGTACATTCACATGGAGTTATTTTGACAAGAAACTATTTCTCAGTGGAGTGTCATGGCCTAGCGGTTAAGAACACCGGACTCATGCTCTGGTGTTTCAGAGGCAACAGTGGCGTGGGTTCAAGCCTGGGCCCGGACACTTGTGCCCTTAAGCAAGGCACTTAACCATTATTGCTTCGTCCTTCGGATGGAACATAAGCCGGAGGTCCCATGTGTTGTATAAGGCCTAATGCACGTAAAAGAACCCAGTAACACTTATCGCTAAGAGAAGGGGTTTGCCCTGGTGTTTCTGGCCTCCTAGTTATACTCCCTTGTGGAAGTCCTTAGGAGAGGAACAAACCAAGTACCAAGTACTGCTTGGGGTGGGGGGTGGGGGGGGGGGGGGGTGGGGGGGGGGGTTGTCATTGTCCCACCACCTCCTTTTTTGGTAACATTTGTGTCTGTCACAAGACACGTCGAAACAAAGAGCGCCACCTTACTGTCCAATAGTATCTGCTGTGGACAGTGTCCTAATAGTCAACTGGCATCCTGCTCCCTCCCCCTCCTTTTCAAGTGCTCTTTGATTTTGCAGCGGCCGGCTGACAGCAAAAAAATTAATTAAAAATAAACCTTGGCTACCTTTCAGCATAGAGGGTCTGTCGGCAAATTTGTTATCCACCCTCAATTCCAATCCATCTGGCAACGCCCCTGATTGTTACTAAATTAGAGATATGTGTGACCCGCTCCACAAAAATGAGTCTGTTGTGGCAAAACTGACATTTTGAGTTAACTACATTAATAAAATGGGAATGAAATAAGCTTTCATTTGGAATATCATGGGCCTCTCTAGGGCGTTTGGTTGCACTGTTGTGCCTTTTTTAATTCTGTCAAGTTTTTGCAAAGCAAAAATGTCTCAATGAAGAAAAAAGGGTTTAAAAATTACAAATACACTGTAACCAAGAAAATCACCAAAAATCATAAATTTGTTAGTCTTTTTCTTACAATATTTAAATTTCTGTGTAAGATATCTGAACTAAAACTATCAAATATCAAACAACCAAAATAAAACAAAAACAAAAATCCAAATTTTGAGCAAATTTTCACTGTTTCCATTTAAAAGTGGTGAAAGCTGGAATTCAAGCTATGCGACATCAGACTCATTTTTGCAGAGCGGGTCACATATGGGAAATATCTTATATATATATGAAATTAGCACATCTACTTACCTGATCAGCTATATCATCACGTATGACGATATTCCCGATCTGATTCAACAGCTGAGCCAAAGACACGAGGGTGGAGCTGGCCGTGGCCAGGTTCTCAATTGTTCTACTTCTCAACAGCACGTCATACTCCTGCAAAGAAGAGTGTTACCAGACTTTACAAATTCAGACAGATAGGACGTGTCAGAAACGGGTTCCTAGAGATATGGTTAATCTTATGTCAGCTTGTTTCTTATGTAGTTGTATCCCATACCAAGCCAAAAGTTCCGGATAGGATGTTCAGCCACGGCCTTTTGTTCCTAATGCAATATGATAAACTGACTGGATAGCATGAGCGTCCATTGCCACGCACATTTTTCAGTAATCCCAATATTGCCCTTGTCACATTCACTTTGACAAAATAACCCGTATTTTTCTTAATATAACCCTGTAGATTTCAGAAGAAAAATAAAACAAGATCCGGGGAAACCAGGATTTTTTATCAATTTTTTTTTTTAAAGTGTTGTAATAATATCTGACACTTTTAGCTGTCAAAACAACAAATAAATCTTACCCAATCAGTAATTCCAGTTTGATCAGGTGATGCCAAAATGATGTTCTTGTCCTGAGCAACCTAACAGAAAGAGAATTCACTTTTATTTGTACGAATTTTGGAGATACAAATTCCTTTAGGTATTGAAGTAAAGGAAAATTGAAACACGCTTAATTTTATGTAATTTAACATAATGTTTACTATGATTATTATATTATAACTTGATTAAAAGATTGTGGAAGATGGAAGGCTGAATTGTGGCAATGTACTAATAGTGTACGTCATGAGTGACCATGATATATCAAGGATGTGGGATCTGAAACTATAAATGTTTACAAATGTAACTAAATGTTATCTGCATTTCAATTCAATATTGGGTTTTGCCCTTCACCGACGTATTTTTTCTTGTTTACAGAGAACCATGTATGACTACAAACTTATGTAATTTACAATGCATTAGAAGCACCTCATTAAAACCCCAAGAAAATTCAAACGCTTATCTTTTCAGTTGAGCCATATCCGCTCCGTTCACAAGTACCCCCTCACTGGCAAAGAAAGCATAGTTGGGGGTGACCGAACAACGCCATCTTGCCCGACTCCAATTTTGCCGTGACGCGCGGCCGTACCATGTATGCATGTACCACTGTGTGTACATAGTACAAATCCCCTGGTGTACTTGCGTCACACACAAGGAACGGTGCGCGTCAACCAGCTTAATGTCCCGCCCATGGGACGTCGTTGCTAGGTAAAAGAGCGCCCTCTTTCGTTGGCGCACAGAGCCCATACGCTGTATTCGTTTCATGTTGGGTCTTAAAAATACAGTCATGCCAAAATTAACGTTTTTAAGAAACGCATACTGGAGCAGGTAGCAGCCTTCGTCATTTTTGCAAACATTTTAACGTTTTAGCGAACATTTGATAAACGTTTACTACATAAACACGAATTCCCTTTATTATTATCCTGGACTGAATGAGGCATCAATACCCACCTGTTGCGGGATTCCAATCAGCAATCTGAGCTGAGCCAGGAAGACCTCCATGGCTCGCCGTGTGTCGATCTCCACGGTTAACGGCAAGGTGTCATTCTCGCTGGGTTTGGGGACGTTCTGGATCATGACACCGCCCCAGCGCGGGCTCAGGAATGCATTGGTGACCACTGGCTCTCCTGGGGGTAAAAGGGGGGAACAAATAAAAAACAAATACAAAACAAGGAAGGGGTGGATGCCATTTTTGCAGAATTGTTGATTGCAGAAAGATCTCAGAAGCTTCTTCCAATTGACATGTGTAATTTTAAGCCGTAACCAAGTCATTCAAACTCGGCCGTATTTTATTTTTTAAACTGAAGTGCTCAACATACCTGTGTTGTCAGTAATGTAGAGAGGTAGGTGGCGTGAACGAGGGATGTACAGAAGAAAATTCAAACTTGGATTAGTCGAAACATGGGACCCTGAAAAATGAATTTAAAAATTATACAGATTTCAAATTCATAAAGAATTCAAACAAATTCTAAAAATGTATCTCTCCGACACAAAATGTTCATAATTAGACAATGATTGTGGCGTTGACCCAGCGAACACAGTGCTCAAGTGGTTCAGATCATGTGTACTAGTAAGCCAGAGAACATGGGTTCGAGTCCCAGTTCGGGCAAACTTGTGGCTTTTTCTCGCACAAAGCACTGAGCACATATCGCTTAAAAAATTGAGTTGTTAATTTAATTATCTGCACCTCACTATAATTATTTTTTCATACCCACGATCATACGGTTGTACTCTAAACTATGGAGTACCGAAGTGAATACGTCACGCGCACAAAATGTGTGTAAAAGACATAAGCGCGTGATTCAGCCCGTGAACCAACACGCGCGCGTACTCCATTCGTTTGCACTTCACTTTCTGGTTCTAAATGACATCACACTTCGGTACTCCATAGTACAGGTTTGATAGGGTCCAAATACATTGCAACTTTTTTCTGTCTGTCAAATTTAGGTTGTTATTAATCTGTCACTTGGGCTAGTCTTGTTGACAGGATGATTGATTATCCATGCCCTGCACCAAATGAGGCTGGCTAGACTCACTATAAGGATTTTACTACACACATGGTTCTTGTCAGAGGGCTGGTGTCTGGCCAGGATTTTCAGGGTCAATGGTTCAAGCTACTTTAATGGGGCACTCACAACGTAACTTGGCCATGTTTGAATGAGGAACTTGAGAAATAAAAAAAAAAATTTGAACGCACAATTTCGGAGTAATTAAAAAATTAAGAAAGCCAGACTTTATTTTAAAGCACAATGCCACACAGAAGACAAACCCAACTTAAAAGCGTTTGTAATTGAGTAGTTCATTACTGATAGCAAGATATATAAATGTTAAGCCTAACTCCCTTAGCCTTTTTGCTAGGATATAGCCTCAATCCTACAAATTTTCTCCAATATTTCTTGAATATGGTCTGTGGAGGGGTGACCACTGCCTGAATCCAGCAAAATCCTGCGGCAGTGACTGTCAATATGTTGAGGCTTGGCCAGTGACATCCTGGAGCAGTATGGAGGATTTCAAGCATAATCCAGGCCTATATTGATGCATGGCTGAGCAAAAACAACACCAGGTCCGGCCCAAGACCTTAACAAAGTGCATTCTACGAAATCAGTAATGCACATTTGCCATGTAACCTCAATCCTCCAAATTCCTCCACTTTGGCAAAGAGGATTTTGAAGGATTCAGGGCGGTTAGGATTAATAATAAATGTATTGAATTTTTACCTAGTTTGGCCTCTACTGGGTTAATGACCAGCGGCAACGCATTCTGGGATACATGGTAGCTGTCGTCCGGCTCGTTGTGCTTGGGTTTGATGGAGAGACCAGTGAAGTACAGTACCTGGGAATTGACGGTGAACTCGGCAAACTCCGAGAGCTTGTGGAGGAAGGGATTTAGGTAGGCTGCAGTTGGGATGAACGGTAAAAGTAATGTTAAATTGCCAGAACATAATAACTACATGTACCATGTTAAGAACTACTCCCAGTGCAACAAAGCTTTGGTGCTCCCTTGAAATGGTCCACATTGGATTTTCCAATAGAATTTCCTTTAACTGTGGAATATATTGTATCGCCCCTCAAAAGACTTCCATTGACTTGAGAAAATACTTTGGTCAGGCATGCTTATGGTAACTAACAAAAATCGAGCAAATTCCAAGCTTTACAAGAATTTATACATTTTATTTTCAATTTTAATTGGTGTGAAGTTAAAAAAAAAAAAAATCCATATTTGGATGATGCTCGAGTATTAGGATATTTGGAAAAGCATTAAATTACAGCCAAAGTCTGATGTTCATAGACCCACCTTGTACTGCTTCCTGTATGTTCCACTGAGCGTTGTACGTGTCTGGCTGAGGGTTGAGAAGACTGAAGGATAGTTCATAGCCTGGCGTGGATAGCAGAGATCTCATACTGTCTGCATCAGCCTGGTGTCAACAAAATAGACTACAATCAACAAAACGTGCAATCAACTAATCAACTAATTGGCCAAAGCAACTAATGAATTGGCTAGCCAATGGATAATTCCTTGCCCTGTGTTGATAGCAGAGATCTCATACTGTCTGCATCAGCCTGGTGACAACAAAATAGAGCAATCAAAAAAACATGCAATCAAGATCAACTAATCAGCTGATCAACTAATAGCTTGCCAGTGGACAACTTCTTGCCCTGTGTGGATAGTAGAGGTTTCATAGTGTCTGCATCAGCCTGGTGTCAACAAAATAGAACAATCAACAAAATATGCAATCAACTATTCAACTAATTGGCTGATAAACTTATGGCTAGTCAATGGATCTTTCCTTGCCGTATGTGAATAGCAGGGAAACTGTCTATCTCAGCCTTGTATCAACACATCGCAGCAATCAACAACCCTTCAACTAATCAGCTAATGAACTAATGAATAACCTTGCCCTTTGTCGATACCAAAAGTTTAATACTGGTATCTCAACCTGATATCAACACATTACAGCAATCAAGAAACCCTAATATCAGCTAATCATTTTATCAACTAATCAGCTCATCAACTAATGGCTAGCCAACGGATGATTCCTTCTCCGTGTGGACAGAAAAGATCTCATACTGTCCGCATCAGCCCTGGATCAACACATTACAGAAATCAACAAACCTGAAATCAACTAGTCAACTAACAGCTATCCAATGAATCATTCCTTTCCCTGTGTGGATAGCAAAGATCTTATACTGTCTGCATCAGCTTGGTATCAATACATTACAGCAGCAATAAAACGTAACATCAACTAAAAAAAAAAGTAACATCAACTAAAAAAAAAAAAACAAGTAATGACTAGCCAGGGGTGTGGATAGATCTCATACTCTCTGCATTAGTCAACTGATTTTGACGGTCTCACCTTATCAAGTCGTACCCCTGCCGCATTCAGATAGGCTCTTGTCATAGCGCCCTCGTTGACCAATCTTGTCCGGATCAGGGACGCCACAATGGAATCTGAAATTTCATACAATACAGGGTGAGTAAAAAAAAAAGAAACCCAAATGTCGGGACTATTGTTTTATTGAAGTTCTACACGTAGCACTTTCAAAATCTAAGACATGAAAGCCCAATTCAAAAGCTTTCTTTTAGTACAAGAATCATTCAAATCACTCATGTACTTTTCAAGTTACGGAATTTTAAACACAACCACCATTTTAAAGTTCTGTCCACGGATCACAAAAAAGGTGTGCGTTCTTTCAGCAAAACAAAAACAATTCACACACATCCCTACATGATTTGTTTTCGTGTTGCTGAAAGAACACTGAAGTTTTTTGTGATCCGTGGACAGAACCTTAAAACGGTGGTTGTGTTTAAAACTCCGTAACTTGAAAAGTACATGAGTGATTTGAATGATTCTTGTACTAAAAGAAAGCTTATAAATGGGGCTTTCATATCCTAGATTTTGACAGTGCTACATGCAGAACTTTACTGAAACAATGGTCCCGATATTTGGGTTTCGTTTTTTTTACTCACTCTGTATACAACAAAGCAATGAGATTTTGGGATGAAGACGGTAGAGGAAATGCGGTCAAGGCATCACCCTCAAGTCTCACCTTTAACTGTTGCTACGGCAACCCGCCCCGTCCCTACGAAGCTGTCAGCTGATTGGAGGAGCTTGTATCCCTGAGAAACGAGGTAGATCGTGAACTGGCCGTGCGGGATGTCTTTGGATGCACTGAGGCTTTGGTCAAGTTCTGCGGAAGAAATTGACTTGTGACTAGTTTACCATTGGCACCAGAACTACATTGCATTATATTGCATTCAGTAGAATCGATGAAACCTTTTTGGGTGCTTCGGTGAGTAATAGGCAGGACGGTTTTGGGCACTTCAGTGACTAAAGGGTTAACCTAATCTTTCTGTGTGAAGCGATCTGGAAAACCGACACATGGTAAAAATTTTCATGCTAGGTTTTTGTACCACAAGAAAGAAAGACTGATCAATCTTTCATCTTCTCTGCATCAAACAATTTGAGTTGATAAAAATTCACAGCTTGATACATTTTTTTTATTAGAAAAAAAAATGTAGTGAACACTCTCTCAAAATCTAACATTTTCATAACCCAAATGATTTTACGGATCATACCACATGTGAACAAGCTATGCCCTTTGTTTTTAATCCTACAAAATCTTACAAAACCTTCCGATGGAGTTTGAAGGATTGAAAACATTCACATAAAGATGAGTAGTTGCATTTTGTAATTGGGCTAACCCGGACATACCTGCCAAAGAAGTGCTTGTTTCAAGAATCTTTTGATCTTGCAGGGAGCATGTTTGCCAGTCGATGGTGTACTGAATGCTCAGTATTGATCTTTCATCTGTTACAAAATGGTTGTAAACAAAACAAATGGAATAACACTCAATTCAAAAGTCAAAGTTTTTATTCCATTGTATTTCAAACTTTTTTTTTTATCCCAAACCTCCTCAATTCGCATCCATTCTAAAAATTCATTGAACCTTCGTACATAACTCAATACTTCCCTCTTTCTCTTCTTGACAATGAAAAGAGACTTTAGACTCAGTAGAATGTTCAAACATGTGACCAAACACATTTTAGGTTGCACCTCAAAGTTTTTATTATTTTTTTTGAAATGCATGTTGCAATGTTCCAGAGGGGTTCTCATCACATGAAACTGCACGCGTTGGCGGCTTGTTACACCTCAAAACAGCTGTGATTGACCCTAGCCCCCTAGTAGTTCCTCAGGACTACCCTGCTAAATCCAACAGAGCCCAACCAGAGTTTCCTGCTCAATCCACTGTGCCTCGTTTTCAGTTGTCTGCTGAATCCAATGGAGTCCAACTTGGCGTTATAATGCGGTTCAGTTGCCTGCTGAATCCAACATTTTGCATCAGGAATGTACACCAGGGGTTTACTGCTCAATCCAACAGGCTCCATCGGGTATATGACGTAGTTGGATCCTGTTGGATTCAGCAGGGTTTAGGATTAAACATCATGGGTTGGAATCGGTCTATTTCAGGTTGGGGAATATGACCCTTCAGCCAACCCATCCAGTCAGGAACTGAACATCCTTCCAAGGGCTTGAAGCACATGCTTACCTGACTGCAATAAGGCATTCAGCTCGGCTTGAAAGTTGTCAAGATTTGTTCTTTCTTCTTCGCTGAGGCAGGAAACGATTGCGACTGGGATGAGGCAGTTTGTCTGCAACAGAAAGACAGAAGTATTTTTTTGGCACTGAAATACATGCAAGACTTCATATCATGGCATGAAACATCATAATCCTGCATTGTAAGCCTGGACAGGGTGAGTCAAAAAAGCGGAACCCAAACCCCCAAAAATATATTTCATATTTCAAAAAATATGTAGCACCAAACATAATAATGAATGGAAAGCCAATTTCATAAGCTATAATTAGATGAGAAAATTACTGAAATTGCTCAATCCGTTCGAACCAAACAATATCACTATTTAAACGCAATGACCCTAAAACCTGTTTCGTAAAAAAAAAAACTTATTGTGTATTCTGACTGTTTCGAACAACAAACAAAATGACACAGAATACTTGTTTTAACAACTGTTAACAACTGTAGTAGAAAATATCTTAACAAGCCTGCTCAGGCAAACAATATGATTTATAAAATCCACTTTTTTAAAAGATGGGCCTTCAAGAGGACTTTGTTGAATGTTCTTAACTTTTAAACTGAGGTTTTATCGCTTGTGATGTTTGAAGACCAATGTGACGACGATTCTTGAAGTCGCATTTTTGGACACAGCCTCAGAGCATTTTGTTCACCTGTGCTGTTGCCAGCTCCTGTATTTCTTGATAAGGAAGATTCGCTCTATACGTAGTTGTTGACAGCCACCAGACCGGGAGGCCGATAACCACAGCGATGAAAGCTACTGCCAAGGCAGCGTACATTGGACTTCGCACTTCATCTGACGACATGTCTGCTAAAAAAAATGAACAAGTCAAGTTAAAGGGAATATACATCATTGGCTTTTGCTGTAATTTTCAGAAATGAACTGTTTGAGGGGGAAGTATAATAGATCAAATATTGTTACACTGACATGTTTGAAGTTTTGTGTTCGTAAATGCTGGAAAAACCAAGAAAAACAAAACTGTTCAAGTAGTCTGGTTCCCTGACTCCACTAAATATAAAATGGATCAATTTAGAGATGCCGGAAAATTGTAAGGTGAGGGTACCAGTCTAGCTGGCCTGCACCCGTTCATGAACATGTAACCAATAGCGAACAAAATTTTGACTGAATTAATGGTGAACTTGGAGCAGTAGTTGAAAAATAGTTAGGTTTTTCCAACGGTGGTCGGCCGACCACCGCTGGAAATTTTTACAAAAATACCATTTTCTTGAAAATGACTTCACACCAGGTGCCATAAGTTTACAGGATGCTTTAGACTGTTATTTTGAGAAGTTTGCCCGATATCTCATTTCTGAGACAAAGGCTTGATCTTTGTCATTTGTTTTTAAACAGACATGAACTTGGGCCTTACATTTAATAGTTTCATTTCTGATTGGGCCTAGCCTAGGCCTAGTCTATAAAATAACGACAAACGTCTAGGATATGAGTGCAGAGTTAAATGTAGTCCGAGTAACTTTGACCCAACTTATCGCCTTTTTCAAAGGCTTTAGCGGGACTGGACCAGGACACAATCACGTGGCTGGAAATAGTACTCGTTCCCATCTGACATTGCTAATGAAAATGCAAATGACTGATGACGAGCAAATTTCTGCTGTATAACTTTTGAAGTTATATGGTCTGGTGGCTCTATTACCTGGCACACAGTGTCACATAAAAATTAAAATTCATATTTGGATCTAGCTTGAGTAACTCCAACTCTAATGCGATAAGCATTAGAGCTATAAGCATTAAAGCTGAAGTTACTCAATTGACCTATCGCTGTTTGCGAGTTAGCCACGCCCCTTTAGACAACCCTATGGAATTTTTGTACGCTAAGTTTTGTTTGTTTCATACGTTTGTTGGCGTTCCGTGTCCGTTTGTGTAATTGGCTAATATTTCACAAGCTGCGTTGACGCGCAGGGTGACCGTTTTAGCCAATTTTCGGCTGATAACTTTGACAGATTTTTGGTTAAAAAACGAGTTTGACAGAAAATTTGACAGAATGGATTTTTTTGGCAGATTTCTGGCAGAATTATGCAAAAGAATTATGAAAAACATTTTTGTGCAAAGCTTTCATCTTTTCAAACAAACCCTTGCATATGGGACAGGTTGGCTAGACAAGCAAGTTGCTGAGGTTCACTGGGAACCAGACTTCGTCATGACGCAACTGCGTTTTGCCTGAAATTTACGCAATTTCATAACATCTTTATGTGACTATGATTGTTTATAAAATGTTATGTGAACCTTAATTAAGGCAAAACTGCAAGTGCAACATCTGCATGTGATTTTCAGTGGTTATAGTGTATTTCGAGTAATTTGGGGGAGTTTGGCAGATTTTTGATAAATCTGACAAGTGACAGATTTTTGAAGCGCATTTAGCAGAATTTGGCCATGACCTTATGGTCACCCTGTTGACGCGATTCTATAATGCGATTCTACCGCGATAGACTGAGTAACTCGTGCTGATCTAGCCCCATAAATGTGGCCTATTTACTGGACTGCCTCCATGGCCGTAAACATAGGCCACACATCCACATGTACAAAAACGTGTCGCACTTTGACAAATTTTGATTTTCACATTTAGGCTTAGTTTGTAGGATTTTTTTGCTTTTAGAAGCATACTCACCCTCTTTATAGGCTAGTCAGAAAGTGCTGCCTTTTTCAGATGTCTAATTTTTGTGAAATTTCATGTTGAAATTTTGATACGCAAACGTGTAAAAATGAATCTGGAAATTTCACGAAAAAATATACATCTGAAAAAGGCAGCACTTTCTGATTAGCCTATAAAGAGGGTGAGTAGGCCTATGCTTCTAAAGCCAAAAAACCCCCCTACAAACTAAGCCTAAATGCGAAAATCAAAATTTGGCAAAGTGCGACACGTTTTTGTACAAGTGGATGTGTGGCCTATGTTTACGGAGGCAGTCCAGTATTGTAAATAGGCCACATTATATTTATGGGGCTAATGTAGCTTGAGTAACTCCAGCTGACATGCTCCATATTCATTCACATGTAATGAATATGGAGCATGTCAGCTGGAGTTACTCAAGCTAGGGCTAATGCTGATCTAGCCCCATAAATGTGGCCTATTTACTGGGCTGCCTCCGTAAACATAGGCCACACATCCACATGTACAAAAAACATGTCGACTTTGCCAAATTTTGATTTTCACATTTAGGCTAACTTTGTAGGGTTTTTTTGCTTTAGAAGCATTCTCACCCTCTATATAGGCTAATCAGAAAGTGCTGCCTTTTTCAGATGTTTAATTTTTGTGAAATTTCATGTTGAAATTTTGATACGCAAACGTGTGCAAATGTATCTGGAAATTTCACGAAAAATGGACATCTGAAAAAGGCAGCACTTCCTGATTAGCCTATATAGAGGGCTGAGAATGCTTCTAAAGCAAAAAAAACGTAAAAAGTAAGCCTAAATGTGAAAATCAAAATTTGGCAAAGTCGACTTGTTTTTTGTACATGTGGATGTGTGGCCTATGTTTACGGAGGCAGCCCAGTAAATACTAGGCCACATTTATGGGGCTAATGCTGATCGCGATCCTCCACCGTGTAAATATAATTGTTACGGCGTTAAGTTGAACGATTTCAAATTGTTTTTCTATGGTTTATCCGTACTAGCGCATGTCACATACCATCATTTACCGCCTTCTTATCAGACTCTTTTTCAGCCATTTCACCAAACTTAAACGAAAAAAATTCTCCCAAACAACAATCGAACGTGAGATCTTGTGCCCTTATTCAAGTCCCACTCATCACGTTAATACATGCACGTTTTTGTGTGGATTGTATACTTTAATTCGCCAGACTATTAATTCATATGCCACGAACTCTACTCTTGGTGGCGCTCTTTTGTGTGACCAGCAAATGCACTGGACCTTATAACAGATAGCAAAAATTGTCACTTTACAAAGCACTATGGGTAATCGAGTTGGTAATGAAAAATACGCACAGTACATATACAGCTGTTCGGCCCGGCCGGCTGCGAAGCTAGCTCGCGTCACAAGCCAGGAGCCATAGTTAAGGTACTAACTTGTTATTATTAATTAAGCCTTGGGATTGCTATACGTTGGCCAATAATGGGGAAAACATCAACAGGATAACATTCTTCCCGAGAAGTTCATTGTAATTTTCTAACTTTTTGTACACATGTGTACATAATGATAACCCGTATCCTGCCTTGTCCATTAGTGGTGCAACATAGGCCTACTTGTATAGTCAGATAGTCGTGTTCCCTAACGTGGCGCACTTCGACGTTTCACTCGACTTTCCTCATGCAGTGTTGCTAAACCTCTTTGTTGTAAAACTTGAAATTGCTTCAGTCAAATACTGGTACTAGTACCTTAATAATACATGCTGTTTAAAATTTGTGAACAATTTCAGTGTCATGAAATTAAGTCCGAAATTCAAAACGGTGGCGTCCGGAAATTGGGCACAAATTCAGCTGAGTGTTCCCTAACGTGGCGCACTTGAACAAATCTCAGAAAATCCCACATTAACATTTAAGAATTTCTTTAAAATTGATAAATTCTGATAAATCATTATAACCTACACTTACATACCCAGCTACAAGTTTGTGGAGAAATTAATTTCTTATTTTTGGGCGCATTTTAAAAGAGTTCATTGTGCACTTAAAAAAAATAGGAAAATCATGCCCAAATAGAATTTCATTGGAACTTTGTAGCGGGTACGTAAACTCAAGATTTATGAACAGGAATGTTTATAGAGCTTGATGAAATTTCACTAATTGTGAAATTTGAGGTAAAAATGTTGCTCTAGCAAGGCACCGGAGGCGCAAAATCAAAGTGCGCCACGTTAGGGGCCGCGCCACGTTAGGGTACATCAACAATACGTGGTCCACAGATAGCAATATAGATGGAAAAGTGTTAAGAATTTTGAAATTTTAATATGCATGCAGCTTTAAATTTTGGGGGTAACTTTATCATGTTTTTTTGTTTTCCGGTAGGCTTTTATTGTGTCTCCTGATGTGCTGCTTGTCGACATGTCCTGTACAGTCTGCACCTTTATTCTCAACCATCTGCAGCTAGTGTAACATGCATGGCACTTCATGACCTCAACTGAATAGTGTGCGCATCAAGTTTTTCTCAGTAATCAGCATTTTCTCTCCAAGTGAGATTGTGATATCAATCATGCATTGTGCAGCAGCATCCTGTGTGAACAATTCAAAATACAGGGATAGGTAAGGATTGTTGATTTTGACCAACTTACTAAACCCTATAAAGTGAACTCTCATTATTCATGTAGCAAACTTAAACAGCGAAATTACAAACAGGACCTTCATAAAAGAACGCTGCAAAATAAAATAATTTAATGAGACTCGGGATCTCAGATTTTGCATTTTCTCTTTATAAGAGGATTTTGCCCTGATAAAGAGTGCCCTTTACCAGCGGCGTAACTAGGGTCATACTTCCGAGGGGGCACCCGGGGGTGCACAAATTTTTCAAGGGGGGCACTGAATATATCTATTTTATACAGTCTGTATAATTTTGTATAATTTTATCCCTTATATAATTCTTCAGGTTGATTGTTATGCCACATGTAATTGAACTACAGTTCCATAAGGCACATGCAGAGGACTACACTAAATGGGAAAAGAAGCTTGACAAGACGGATTACAGGGTGTCACAGTACACAAGAATTTGCAGTAATCACTTCAAGTAAGTCCTTCCTTTTTAATACATGTACTTGTTGAAAACTGTGCGGTATTCTTTGTTAGTTTCAGTTTCATTCATTTTGCATCATACTTAGTTCATGTGATGCGACAATGTTCACAAACTGTATATTCTCATGATTCTATTGCGATAGGTCAATTGTAAGTTATCATATTCTTGTATTTGTATATTTTCTGATGATTTGCCTACAGTGGCGTCGCCAAGGGGGGGCCAGGGGGGGCACGTGCCCCCCCCTGGAAAACCTAGTGCCCCCCCGAGTGCCCCCCCATCAAATGCTGGTGCCCCCTATCCTCTGCAAAATTCTGCGCGTTGTTAAAATCATTACCTCAAAAATAGCAATTTCTTGAGATATCTTCAGATCGAATTTAGCATCAAATGTGGCACCATTTTGCATCTAGCCCATCCTCCGTATGTGAAAATTTTCCAAAGGGCACCCCCTCCCCTTAGACCCCTCCCCCAGGACGGCGATCCATATCCACCTAAGTGCCCCCCATCAAATGCTGGTGCCCCCCCAGTGCCCCCCCAGACTGAAAAGTCTGGTGACGCCACTGTTTGCATATGGCATGTTTGTGCATGGAAGAACAATTTTGATTATCTGAAATGTCATAGCATGGCTGTTCTGCATGCATCTCCCACCGTAGTGTCTGTAAAAATCCAGAATAGTTGCAAGAATGAGTGTTGTTTTAATACTTGACTCAGGTTATGAATTTGTGCATATTTTGAGCTTATAGATTTGTGCGCAAACATGGATGCTATCAGCAGCGTTTGCTCTTTGTTAGGAGTTAGATCTTTAGTAATGTAATTAAGCTCTGTGACTTTTTCACCTTTCTTCCCTAATAAAATACTTTTAACATTTCACATCACAGGTATGGTAAGCCATTAGCAGGGAGTTCTGTTCCTACACTGTACATGCGTTCCTACCCGGACTGGGCATTGTCAAGAAAACAGGCAGCTAAGGAAGTTGCAGCAGTAGAAAATGGACTGATTTGTCATGCATTGGTGCATGTGTGTAAGTATCTGGACCCACAGACAACAACTAGACTTGCGGAGCAGCTTAGAGTACAACCTGGAAAGAACAGTGACTGTATTTTCCAAAAATTGCTGTCCATGTCTAGTACTGAGGCTAGACAGTTATTACAGCAAGTTGCACCAATTGTGCCAGGAGGAAAATGTTTAGAGGCCCTCCATATTTATAGATATGGAGCCTTGTGTGAAGGGACCGGTTGGTTATCGGCTCAGTTTCAGCCCCCTAAAGTTGACTCTGTCTGCGCTAATAAAAGGAAAGACTGTAATCCTTATTCAATACCTGCTTTCCATTCATATGCCAAACCTGAAACATTCAAACAGTCCACAGAGATGGTTCATTGTGGACACCAGTGTAATAGAAAAGAGGGTGTAGCTTGGAGGAAGCACAACAATAAAAAACAAAGATTAACAGCAGTGGAATGTAAAGAAGAAGTACTTTATGAAAATTACTTCCATGGAGATTCAACTCTTAGGGAAACACAAAATATCCAGCTAAGTGAAAAAATCACTGAACCTGAAAGTGCATTGAAGTGCACACAGCAGATCATGAAAGGACCAAAAGTGTCAATCGAGTCAATAAAGCATTCTGATGAACTTATTCAGCTTCATACCGGGTTGCCGTCATATCAGTACTTCAAGTGGATTTATAAAGAAGTTGACAAGGCATCAGAAAATATGAAATATTGGCATGGTAATGGATCAGAAAAGGCCAAAAAATATATAGAAACCAACCAGAAAAAGCCTGGACCAAGTCGAGTGGTGTCTAAAGAAAATGAACTCCTGATAACTTTAATGAAGTTAAGACTTAACATGATGGAGGAGTACCTGGCATACCTTTTTAATGTTAAGCAGCCCACAGTCTCCTCCATATTATCCACATGGATTCCGTTGTTGAGCCATGAACTGTCTGGATTGATTTACTGGCCTGAAGTGGAGGAAATCAAACTTTGCTATCCAGATTGTTTTAAGAGATGGCCAGGCATTAGAGCACTATTAGATTGTTTTGAAATCCCAACCCAGAAACCATCGCATGTAGAGGCAAATACACAAGTATTTTCATCGTATAAGAATCGGGCCACCACCAAATTCTGCCTTGCTTGTACACCAGGAGGATCTATCTCCTTCATATCACCCCCAGCAGGTGGAAACATGTCGGACAAGGAGATTGTCATTGCATGCAACCTTCCCCAAAAATTCTCCCCTGGTGATAAGTGTATGGTTGACAAAGGTTTCCATATCAAAGGGGAGTTATTGGAGTATGGTGTTGAACTTATCCATCCACCTTTTGTACATAGAGGCCAGCCTTTCACTGAGGAAAAGAATAGATTGAGCAAGCAAATTGCACATGCTCGAATTCACATTGAGCGCGTCATTGGTAGGTTACGTGACTACAAGTACTTGTCAAGTGAAATACCAGTGTCTCAACTGGATTTGATAGGTCCTGCAGCTAGGGTATGTTGTGCTCTTACCAACCTTAAAAGTTCTGTTGTTGGAAAGAGTTAGTGGTGAACAAAAAATGCTACATTTTAATAAAATGTTCACCCAATAGTTAATGTTTATGATGATGTGAATGTTGTTTAATACAGCTGTGCATCAGTGTGCAAAAACTACACTCACAGCTTATGTTTTTGTTGGGGGATGTTTGTTCATTTTGATCAAACTAAACTAAGATGATGATTGCGATGATAATTTAAAAAAACAGATATTAAAATGAACCAGGCCTGACTTTTTAACCAGAGGTTATCAGTTTTCATTTGAATGAAGTACTCAAAAAAAGTATGCACAATGAGAGTTATCATTCAATACGAGAGTTTGTTCTGCGTCTGTATAATTTAATACATTTATTTACATGAACCGTTTCACTGGTAATTCCTGACCCTCTCAGTGAGATAGCAACTGTGGCATACATTGTAAATGAAGTTTTTACCAATGGCAATATTGATGCTTTTTTCTTAATAGTTGTTCTCATACAAACTGATTATACAATGTTTACCAGAGGATTTAAAATATTTAACAAACTTGAAGTTGCAATAAATATGGTAAATTTTAGTTTAATGAATAATGAACCCGGTGAGTAGATGTATATACATGTATATATAGATATGAAAAAAATATATATGTGCAATTAATGCCCTTTAGTTTATTTTAATTAATAAATTATTAAATACATATACAACTGTAGAATAAGAAATCCAATGGATTAGTCCCTTTGGAGACATATCTGTCATTATATTAGTTCTGTTTGAAAAAGTTTTACATGTATATACCTTCCAGCATTCTTGTTGAAATCCCTGTGCAGTGCTGCACTTCACCTTGGAAACCATACCCCATAATTAATTTGTGAAGATTCAAATGACAATATATATACATTGAACTGCAATAAACTGTGAATGTTTCATACAGAAAATCATTTTCCTTATTTTGCACCTTTATTTTACAAGTGTTTGTTATGAAAATAACTTGTTCTGGAAAATCTGTCTTTTTCCTCTCAAAAGTTATATATTTTCCCCCAGTTTGATTGGACTGAATCATTCTACATGTACATGTATATAAGGGTTGAACATGTTATTTTTTGTTCACTCAAAAAGCCAGTGGTAAAGTATCCATTTCTAAACAGAATCCCCCATCAGTTTGTCCACTGTGCAGAATACAATCAAAAGCCCTGTTGATGAATTTAAGATTAAAAAAAATGGAGGTGGAGTTTTGGGTCAAGGAAATTTGAACAACAATATACAATACTTGCTTTAAGGTTCAGTTTGCATTTCCTTATATTTCAGTGCAATTTTCTTTTCTACAGCTCCAGTTTCAAGCTCAGACAGGACTGCATTGGCCCAGAAACTTGATGCCTTGTGTTTCATTTGATTGATTATTTCATCATTTCTGTAAACACGTTGTATCAACATACTATCTTCTTTTGCTTCAGTCATCAACACAAAGTCACAGTATTTCCTATCTGTGCAGAACAACTGACACTGAACCTGGGCATAGTAATTGTGGGTTGTTCTCAGGCTTACTTTGTCTTCGTCAACTGTGAGGCAGGTATTCCCTTTGGATGCATATTGTGTTACAGTTAGTGATTTGTCTTTAAAGGGACACTTCACTTCCACAAGTCCTGCTCCACAACACTTGCAGTTTACATAACCATCTGGACTGGCTGCAATAAATGGGTGACTACTGGATATGCAAAGTCCAATCTTTTCCAAGTTGAAATGTCTATGTGTTCTGCGCATCTTCATCAGATATTTAGATTTTGCTACAGCTTCCTGTTTTTTACCATAGGTGGTGGCTGGTGATACAAAGTCCTTATAGTAAGACATCACAGTAGCAATGATGCTATGTGTGGAGCCAGTAAGGTTCCCAGATTCATCCACGTGTTTCGTAACAGCCCCCATGTTAGAGGCAGTTATGCGCCCAACTCTGTGTTTGTGCCACATATGTGATTCTGCCTGTTGACATGTTGATTCAGCCAACCACTCTCTACTGCGACCACTACAGGCCATCTCTTTTGTCATGGCTGTGTATGTGGCTGCATCAGTACCTGCACTTTTCTTCACTTCTCTAAAGGCATCTACAACAGATGAAACTCTAATTGGTGAAGATGATGATATATCTTCATCTAATGTGGAATTTAGATGATTGATATCCGGCTTTGATGTCAATGTTGGGTGAACATGCCTTTGATGTGCTGCATATAAGAGCACTGCAGCCTTACCATTTGATATGTCAGCCAAACTATCTAAATCATAATCGCATAACTTTCTTACTTTCTTGTTTACCACAGCACGGGGATCAAACATGTCCCTTCGACCCTTCCTATTGTCACACATTGAAGATGACACTTTGGGTGTTTTAATGTCTTTCAGGAATGCCGATGTCTTTAATTTCTGGTTAAGATTGCTGCTGCTTGGCCTGTGCCACTGTTGAAGCTGGCTTGTGCATGACTCACTGGAACCACATTCCACTTGTTGTGTCACAAATGACAATAGTGCTGCAACGTGTTTACACATACCGCTGAGCCTAAATTTGTTAAGAGAAGGGAGATAAAAAAGAAGAACATAAAAAACAATAAACAACAGAAAACAGATTGTTGCACTTCAGCCTTCCCAAACTACACAAATTACACAATAACAGACCAATTTTGTTCAGAATGATTATTTTTCTTTCTCAATCACCATCTGTTGGTAAATGGTAAACTAATCAGCCCTCCCCTCAAAACCCCCCAAAAATTAACTTGAGTGTGACACCCTACAGCAGAAGCACACTCAGCATTTAAGAACAAATACAGCAGCTCCCTTTTGAATGGGAAATTCAACGTCAATGCCCAGTTTCAGTGATTTCAAGTTTTAGGCTTGTTAATACTTCATTCCAATTTGTGAGCAAAACTAATTTATTACCTTAAGTGTAATGGCAGATTTCACAAATGAAGAACATTTGCGGAGTTTGTGACATTCGCATGGCTTTGCATTTGTGTGAAGTGTTAACTTGTCATTTTTTATAAAAAAATTACAGTTTGCAACTTCATATGGCCCATTTGTGATGTACGGTCATGAATCTCACCCTGCAATGCAATGACAATCTGCCTGATGTATAACACCTGTATTTTTAAATACAAGGATCCACACCATGTATGGCTGCTCATGAACTCTTGTTTGTGGTACAACCAGTCCTCGAATGTAGCTGAGCCCTGTTGAAAAAATAAATAAATGACTTGTTAATTCCCTCATTTGTCATTTGCAGATTTAGACACTTTGTAAACTTATCACACTTCAAGAATTAGTACACTGTACATTGTATACATGCATGTACATGTAAATTTTTCCACCACACCATTCATATGTACTCAGTCAATGGTCAAGAGAAACATGTGATAAATACAGTGTACATGTAGAACAGCCCCCAAAAGAAATGTGGTTGCAATCTCCCATTCATTTTGATATTTGTCTCACCTACAATATCACTGATGTGGTGGTGTTCAACTGTGTGCACCCTGCCGCTGGAAACTGCCATGCTCCTTCCTTGACCGAGAGATTTGCTGCCATCTGTACTTATCTCAAGTTCTTTGTTTCCTGATTAGAGGAATTAGGTTTTGCAAATTAGATAGCTTTCTTAATACATGTACATGGTTGTGATGGTCTATATGTATGCATGTAAAGTAGCCTTAGTTTAGGGCCACGCTACTGGACTCCCTCCATGTCAGTAGCCCTATAAACATGTGAAAAAAATCACAGGGGGAAATTTTGAAAACTAGTTTTTTCCCTTAAACTATGCGCCGTGAAATTTCACATACACTCTCACTTACCCATGCCAGGTGATTTCTCACAAAAAGTGCAATATCCTGATTTCTAACTCAAAATTTCTCTCCAACTTTGGAGCCAAATTTCACGAAAAGTAGAAATGAGGATATTACCCTTTTTGAGAAAGAGCACATACAAGGCATGGCATGGTATATGGTGAAAGTGTATGTGGAATATCAGGGCTCATAGTTCCGGAAGAAGAAATATATTGTTCAAAATTTTCCCCTGTGATTGTGTACACATGTGTTTAGGGCCAAGGATTATGGAGAGAGTCCAGTGCACTAGGCGGCTACTACTACAAGTAGTCCGAGTAACTTGGACCCAAATATCACCTTTTTAATATGGCCGTTTTCCGTGACATTTTTTTTGGGGGGGGGGAGGATAAGTGTGAGAGGTCAGGGGGGTCGATGTGCAGACATTTTGTACCGCGATCCGTAGGGCTTTCACTTGAACCCTACTAGCTTATCACCCGACCATGTCCAAATATTAAAAAGGTGATATTTGGGTCCAAGTTACTTGGAATACTACTACAGTATATAAAGATGGTATGTACATGATGTACCATTACTATACTGTACATGTTTGTTGCAAAATGTGACAATTGTCAAAGGCTAACACAGTTACTCATTGGAACTTGATGCACTTTTTACCCCCAAAAAACATTTTAATAGTAAGCAAATTTCAAAAAAAAAAATCATTCCAAACCATTTTTCACACTCCCAGAAATGTAAATTGTAATCATGGTAATCAGGTGATAAATCTCTAAAATCACTAAGTGTCACCGTCAGACTAGACCAGGTCAGACTAAATAATTTTCTTTGTCTTTGAAGACTGTAAACGTTACATCATACATGTATGACTATGAGTGACTTACGTGTCCGGAAATAATGGTTTACTTTTTCTTCTGTAATTGGTGGAAGATTTGCGGATGTACCTTCCCAGCCATCGAGAGTGAGGGGGTGAGGCAACTTAAATTGTTCTCCAAAGCGAAGCTTTCTCTCCCGGCTTTCACGTCTGCTCAGTTCTTCGTTACTGGCCGTGGGCACTATGGGGAGTCCCAGCTTCAATGCATAGAACAGCCGCTTTTGCAGACAGTCTTTGGAACCGCTTTTCGGAACGTCCACTTTTGACAGAAATTCCTGCAATGTTTTCACGTCGAACTGCCTGACACATCCCCAAAGTTCTTCATCAGTGACTTCAAGTTCAAGGTTCATGCTGAACAAATAACTCAACTTCTTAAAACGATAAAAATAAAATGATAATAATATGGTTACACTTTCAAACTAGGCGCTCTTTGTACGTATTGTTGATGTACCCTAACGTGGCGCGGCCCCTAACGTGGCGCACTTTGATTTTTCGGCTGTAGCGCCTAGCTAGAGCAAAAGTTTTAACTGAAATTTTACAGAAAGTGAAATTTCATCAAGTTCTAAACACTCCCGTTCATAAATCGCGAGTTTATTTACCCGCTACAAAGTTAAAAGAAAAAATTATTTTGGCATGATTTTCCGATTTTATTTTCAAGTGCAAAGTGAACCCTTTGAAAATGCCCCGAAAAATAAGGAAATAATTTTCTGACAAACATCTGGCCGGGTATGTAAGTAGAGATAATAATGTTTTATCAGAATTTATCAAGTTTACAGAAATTCTTAAATGTTAATTTGGAATTTTCCGAGATGTATTCAAGTGCGCCACGTTAGGGAACACTCCGCCAATTTGTGCCCAATTTCCGGACGCCACCGTTTTTTAATTTCGGCTTAAATTTTATGAAACCGAAATTGTTCACAGATGTTAAATAGCAAGCATTAATAAGGTCAAAGTACCAGTATTTCACTGCATGAATTTGAGGTTTGTCAACAAAGAAGTTTGGCAACACTACACGAGGAAAGTTGGGTAAGCTTCGAAGTGCGCCACGTTAGGGAACACGACTATACGTACGGGTACGACGCGACGTACGTGACGAAAAAGTATTAACAAATTTCCTTACCAACAATTTTTCCCACTGTCCTTTGCGCGCGCATGCGCAGTGGCAAAATCGAGCTATCTGTTATAAGGCCCCTGTAGTCCGCGCGCTGTGTTTTGCAGCGTAACTAACCCGCGGACGTGGACCCAGCCGGCCGTACGTTGACAGTAAGTACTCCTAGAACTATGAGGCTCCGCGTGAGCGGAGCCTCATAGATCAAGAAGCCCGCAAAATTGCCTGCAGCACAAAACACTAATAAAGTACAAAAACGTCCATCAAAATGCAGCCATTTCACACAGAACCGCTGCACAGTTTGCCCCTATACTCCGTACTTTATCTCTTGACATACTCACGTATCTTGTGCGGAACTAACATGGGTGGATTCTGTCGGTTTTTAGGCCAAAATGATGAAAAATATGCCCTTTCCGCACTGAGCCAACCTGACACTTGAAACGTGCACGCATATGATCGACCGATGATTTTCGGTTCGCTCGGAGCGCGCCGCGGGGGGTACGGTACAAGGCGAAATGATAGTATGTGCATGCGTACAAGTGCATGTACCGTACCCCCCGCGAGCGAACCGAAAATCATCGCTCGATCATATGCGTGCACGTTTCAAGTGTCAGGTTGGCTCAGTGCGGAAAGGGCATATTTTTCATCATTTTGGCCTAAAAACCGACAGAATCCACCCATGTTAGTTCCGCACAAGATACGTGAGTATGTCAAGAGAAAAAGTACGGAGTATAGGGGCAAACTGTGCAGCGGTTCTGTGTGAAATGGCTGCATTTTGATGGACGTTTTTGTACTTTATTAGTGTTTTGTGCTGCAGGCGATTTTGCGGGCTTCTTGATCTATGAGGCTCCGCTCACGCGGAGCCTCATAGTTCTAGGAGTAGACAGTAAGCTGCAGTAAGTGGGATGATATTGATAGTGTTGTGCCCATTCTTGAAAATCACGCATTCTCGAGAATGGGCATGCACATTCTTGAGAATGTGCAACTGGATCCTTGCTCAATCTTGGCAAAAAATAACTCTTCCAGATTGAGCGCACATTCTCGAGAATGCGCGACAAGATAACGGTCTTGTCGATGCCGAGCACCGGCTGCGCTTGGCAAGTCTAGCTGAATCCTCGTTCACTGATTCTCAATAATTATACTGTTGCAACGCAAGGCTCTGAAAAGTAGAGTGGATATGATAAGTAAAGGCGTATTAATATGGGGGGGGGGGGGGACCGGGAAAATATAAGAGACATAATAATACTACTACTAGTGCAAAGAATTCTGATTTTTGGGATAATAAAAGCGGGGGGGGGGGGGACGTAAGAATGAAGAATGTGAAGAATGAGAATGAATACTGCGACATCCCATAGTGCTAATGCTATTTCCCATTTAAATTGCCACCAATTTATTGTTCACATCCCACCATAACGTCGCAGAGCTGGATTCTATCTAGTCAAAAGAGCAATTTTGGCAGCTTCTGGACATCGTTTTTTTTTTGTGGCACGCATATGATACATGCAGGGACTTGTAACTTGTCTAGCCTAAACAAAGCACTTCCCAGACTAGTTCCCAGTCCTCCGTTATTACAAAACTTCCCATAGTGGGCAGAAAAAAGCAATAATAACAGGTTTAATTTGATTCAAATTATCGTAATTATACGAGTACAGAAGCATAGCACATTTTCTTTCCTCTTTATATGAATTGTTTCCCTTTTAACCGCTATACAATTCATTTAACATAATTATGTCGTGCAATGTTTGTTAAGATTGGGCAAAATTCATAAATTGTGCACGTGATATTCCCAACCAATCTTAAGAATGAGCGCTCATTCTTAAGAACGCGTGCTCGTTCTTAAGAATGGGCGCTCATTCTTAGAATGCGCGCCCATTCTCGAGAATGTGCATGCCCATTTTTGAGAATGCGTGATTTTCAAGAATGGGCACAACAATAGCATTGTTCTTTTTATCAGCATATCGGTGATTAGAAGCTAATGTCTTTATTAAATACATAACTCTTGTCTTTGTGCAAAACTGGATTTTGATTTGGAAAGAACTTGTACTTGTAATCCTGATGATTTTTTGCCACTTTTTTTCTTAGTTTTTTTTGTCATTAAACTAAGTTAAAGGGGCATAGTAGTGTCACGCCCCAACTGTCGCATCGGTCCCAACTATAGTTGGGACTGTCCCAACTATAGTGCGGCAGTTGGGTCGGCCCAACTATAGTTAGGACTGGAGTTGCGCCGGATGCTTCATGCTGGATAGATCTTGTTGGATTAAATGTTTCGCAGCGCTGGCACCGTGTATTCGTCGTGCATGCATGCCGCAAGGCTGGCCGGTCACGTGGTACTGCCTAGTTGGATGAGTTGTCCAGCTGCTGGGTTTTATTGTCCAGCAACATTTTGCAAAATTCAAAGATTGCCATGGCCGGCCAACTATAGATGGGCTCCACCCATAGCTAATGTCAAAGGTCTCAAGTCGGACATGTAAGCAGAGCTGTAGAGGATGTTTTATAGTCGTACATCAATGTAAACTATAGTTGGGACTGCCAAATAAAAATATTGCGGTGGCCCAACTACAGATGGTCCCCACCCATAGATCATTTCATTGGTCCCCAGTAAAGTCAGATGTATTAGAGTTGTAGGGAATGTTTTATAATCGTACAACAATGTACACTATAGTTGGGACCGCAAAATAAAAAGATTGGGGTGGCCCAACTATAGATTCGCCTCCGATCAATAGCTAATTTCAGTGGTCCCCAGTAAAGTCAGACGTGTATCAGAGCTGTAGGGGACGTTTTATGGTTGTACATCAATGTAAACTATAGTTGGGACACCGCAAAATAAAAAGATCGGAGTGGCCCAACTATAGATGGGCCAGCCCAACAATGGAACTTACAGTTGGGACCGTCCCAACTATAGTTGGGACAGGCCCAACTATAGTTGGGCCAGCCCAACTGTGGAACTACAGTTGGGACAGGCCCAACTATAGTTGGGACAGGCCCAACTATAGTTGGGACCGATGCGATAGTTGGGGCGTGACAGTAGTATTAGTAACAGGAACATTATGGCCTAGGCCTATATAAGTCCTGAAATCCCCGAAAATTTCATCATGTTCATGACTAACGTTAATCATATTTTGGATTGTTTACTTATCCTATTTCAAACAGCTGGTTAGGAAACCAACCTAATGTCTTATACCGTCAGACCGTTCCCGGGGAAGACAAAAAAAACCTGCCAACCCCCCCAAAAACGGGTTGCTTGCATTGGACACGACGGAGTAGGAATAGATTTTTCCAGTCGTTTTCAGTCAATCTAGGATACACGTGTGTGTCTATAACACACTTACACAGCACTGTGCTTGCGAACAGTGGTCAGGTGGTGACCAATCACCAATGCACAAAATGTGGTTTTCAACACGTCCGCAAAAGGCGAACACTTTACGGATGAATGTGGACCCCAAAGCAAAACTTGTTCTCGTACGCATAATGCAGGAATAACACAAAAACGCCCAGTTTTTAAACTAATTAAAAACCCTCCTAAAGTAATAGTATTATTTAAGAGGTCACAAACGGTCAAAATTTTCTTCCTCACCTCCTGGCATACTGTGTACTAGACCCGTGAACGTGGCGTAGTTTACAAGCCACGTTCACGGGTCTAACTGCGTACAAACCAATGGGTCTTGACCAATATTGACCCAAGTATTAACAAGGCTGACAATGCATGTTTCCATATTAGTTGTGTGGATGTTTATATCCTACTTTTAAATGTATACCTTTTAAGTATATATCCTACTTTTAAATTTCATTCAAAGCACGTTAATTTTGTAGCCCGATTGGGCTGTTCCAGGACGCTTTTAAAATTATGAAGGTCACTCCTTCAAGTTCGTATGGGACACCGACACCTAATGCTTTAAAGCTGGAACTCCAGTGAGTATGGGCTGATGAGGTCATTCCCCTTCAAACAATGCTTGTGGCCTGACATCACATGATGTACACTGTGTAAGCCAACTGATATCAATCACGCCTTGGACTTTGCCTTCCTCATGCTCAGACAGCTCAGTGCTAGTGCTGGGGATGACCTACTATATTAGGTCATTATGCGTGCCTCGTTCCTGTGTGGTGGGCAAAGTTCTTTCAACGATACGTGGCCTCGGTTTAGCTGTCATTGCTTTGTATAGCGACTTCATTTTTCTTCAAGCAAAGTAAGCAGGTAAGCCTGAACAAAATAAATAAGTCATAAAAATTCAGCTGCTCTTTCCTGCTGATTGTCTATGTAATAGGTATGTGATATGTGAGCTGATTCAACGATTAATTATGCAAAAAGGACTGCGTCTTGACCTCAGAATTCTGACCATTCAGTGGGCGCTTTCTATAGGCCCCCTATCGGTTCTCGTCATGGATAAAACCTAGACACGACATCTATTAATTCTATTTTACGCTGTGAATTGAGCAAAAAGTCTGCGGTCACACGCTGTGTGACAATATGTTACACGATAAGCAATAATACAGCTGGCCAATCAGGGTCGCGTCCAGGTTTTGTAGATCTACATGCACCCGGCAGTTGTATTACAAAACCAACTGCAAATCGAATCGACCAATCAAAAAGTTAGTCCAGATTTCGGAATGCGCGGGGTATCATAAATCTGCATGCTTAGATATTAGATGTTGGACCGGACAAAGGGCTCTTTGGACAACTGGTGATACTCAGTCTACCCTGCTGACTGAAGTGGGACATTTATACCAACCCCAAGAAGAAAGGCCCTTGTACAAACTGAAGTCATGTCATGTGACTGAACAATGGATTATTCACACCCTGAACTACATTCAACAAGGACTGAATAGACAATCTGGCTATCTGACAATCTTTTGATCACAGTACAAGGATTAACTCTATATGAGTCATACCACCAGCGGTGACCAGCCTTTGTTTGAACTATCTTCCCCCAAACAGTACACATGTGTTATTGACTTAGGATGTCTCTCTGCATTGTGACTGATGAATTAGCTGTAGCTACGAAAGCTTATAAAATGCCATTATTATAATTTTAGTCTTTAAAGGTAGAGTCCTGGTACATCATTTCTCAGTTGTGCATTTTTTTCGTTTGAAGCAACAAAAATGCTCGAAATCTAAAAAGGATGCTTAACAACTAACCTGATGATGTTTTAGCTCAGTGAATGCTGTACATTCTGAGAAAACAATATTCTAGGATCTAGATTTCAATTCAAAAGTTGCCAAATCATGTTTTGAATTGCGCCCGAAGTCAGCGTCCAGCCGAGTGCAGCTGTGCGATGTGTCACACACTGAACACGCAAATAGTATTGTGTCACACATGCCGAATTGTAGCAACCCCGGGCGCATGTGCGTCGCGCCAACGCTTGCGCGCTCGAGTTGCTGAATTAAATACAAATTGCTAACGGAAATGTCCAAAAATGCATCTGTAGAGGCATCTTTGGAAGTGACCTTCTTTTCTTGTTTTCTTCAAAATGACAGCATGCCAGAAAGATTTCACAGGGAGATTTGTGCCATTACATCCAAGTAAGCCTTTCAACAATAATTTGGTCAGTTACTTTTTGGGCAGCTGCAAATGATGTTCGCTACCTTTAAAGTGCAAGTAAGACGCTCCGGTCAGTATGCTCTGACTGTCTTCAGGAGAGTGCATGCCTAAACTCTAAGAAAGTAAACACATAAGTACTAAATGCGAAGACGATGAAGTACAAGTTAGTATAAAAGAGTATTATAATTATTTTCTTACAACATGTAAATACTATTAACTTGTCAGCCTCAAAGTCTTTTGGGTCTGCTTTTAGGTCCTTCGGTCCTATAGAAACAGGAAAGGTGAGCTGCAGAAATATTGCTTTGAATTCCAGCGTGCACATTTAATTTTTATGTCCACAACTGTTACTTGGAAAAGAAGTGAGATAACAGCAGACTGTTACATGTTCAAAGTTGACTGTGATTGCTACGTGATAAACTACATGTGGGTATTTATCTAATGGGGCTGAGCGCTTGACCCAAAAGGCAGCCCCTTGCCTAGAGTAGATCGAAGTACATGCACTTGTAGAGACCAAGAATTTTAATTGGACGGGCAAGTGTCACACCATATCTAACAAGGCCTCGGGGTATCTACCCGGTACAATACTTCAATTTTGATCATTCATTAGTAAACCACAGGTTGATCTGCACTGAGTGCCTGAGTGGTATGACAAATACAATCCTCACTTCTTTTAGGCCAAAAAAAAAAAGTCTCCGGTTTCTGGTATGGAGCTTGCCCAAAAAGTGGTGCGGCAACGCGGCTTTTTTTTTTTTTTTTTACCTGCTTTTTTGCTTCAGATGTCGACTGATGACTGCAAATGGTGCCCGACTAAACTTAGTGCAAATATATGGGAGTCCAGAGAGGTCACATAAAGCTTATTCTCGACCATAACCCAATCTAAAAAAACGTTGAAATTGTGCAGCAGCAGGATTCCAGTCAAACCAGTGAGTTTGGCGGTTTTGAGACATCATCTTTCATTGAAAAAAAAACTTTTTCATTTTGCCGACGCGCATGGCTACAGCGACGCGCGCGCATACCAGAAACCGGAGACTTTTTTTTTTGGCCTTAGGTTTTCTTTTTATCATTTTAAATACTTTTAAATACATTTTATCATTTTGTACGTTCTAAGATAAAGGTCGTTTTCAAATTTGAAATGCCCTCTTTCAAAACAGCACCCAATCAACAGACTGAGCAGCATTAGAAGTATCTGAAGATCTCTAAGCGTGAGAGGATGGAATCTACAGCAGTATCAGAGGGTCCGGCAGTTCCAGCGGACTGGTCCAAACTGGTACCCGACATGCCAACCGGTCCCCTAGACCTCTACCGGCAGAAGGCATCCTTTGACTGGAAGGATATGAAGCTCCTGATGCAGGGAGAAGATCAAATTAGATTCCAGGTAAAGTTTTTTGTTTGTTTAAATTGGAAGTACCCCTTGCTTTTTCTCTTCTTCCTCACCTTTCTCCCTGTTATATCATTTGCTGAAGCTGAATGTCTGGCCTATTGTCCTTTTACTGAGTTAGCAAAAAATCAGTGCTTACTGTAGCAGAAAATTCTTGCCCCCAATCATGTGATATAGTAACAGTCTCTTTGCAAAGTTGAAACATGCAAAGCATTGGATTAAGTCAACGTTCCAGATTTGATTCAAATTTAACTCGCAAATGGCTTATTGGGCTCAGGTTGAGACTCTTTGTTGGATTGGTTGCATCATAAAAAAGTGGAATTTCCACGGCAATCTTTTTGTATTTAAACAAGCTTGTTCCCCCATTTTATCTGTTAACCATGATGGAGAGTTAGGAAGGAAAACAAACAATAACTAGATATTCGCGTTTGTTGTTACAAACGCAGAGTGGTCGGGTAGACAACTTTTTAATGAAAAACTGTCCAGTTAAGTTATGAGTATTCTAATGTAAGAACAAAGTATCAGGAAATTAAATCCTGTCCAGGACAATCAATTAAATTTCAGTAAACATTCCATGTACACATACAAGTTATTTCTGGCTTCATAACGTCATTAGTCAAAAACGGGAAGTGAATACTGATTTAGTCCGGAGTGGATGTTCATTGTGAAGTTAAATAACGTATGAAAATTTGGAAAATATAAGTGTATGTATTCATAACACCGAACTTCCGGTTTGATGACGTCACAGTTTTTGGAAGCAAAAAGTGAACATTGTAATGGTATCGTTATATGGGCTAAGATGTACGACATGGATAAAATGATAGAATATAATTTAAAATATGATCGTTGGCAAATTCTCATAAAAGTAACTTCCGGTCTGATGACGTCATGAATTTGAAACCTTGCCAAGTTATCTGTGGTTAATCAAAGAATATCGAGGGTCGATTTCGTAAAATTTGAACCTTTTGTTTTAAAAGTAAGGAAAAGAAACAATATTTTATGTGCCGCTAGGGGGCGCCCTCTCGGATGATGACGTCATCACACTGTTTTTTGTGTCTGGCATTCCTCACTAAACACTTTCATAGTATATGTCTGTAGTAAAATGCTTCCTCTTTTGAGTTATATTAAGTTTTTATTGCACTTCCGGTAACACCGGAAGTAAAGGTCAAGCGGTTTTGTGTCTGGGAACTCACGGCATAGTCTACAACCTCACGAAAAAACGAACACGATACTCTATTTAGTTCAAAAGATATAACGCAAACTATTTTGTCAAAATTTGCCATTAAATCGCTTGTAATTTGATATCTGATGACGTCATGATGACGTAACAAAATTTATAACATCTTCGTAACATGGTACAAGTTCACACAAGGTTTTGTGATCATACCGTTAACCATTTGGAAGAAATGTTGCTTTGTTTTGATGTCAGGCTAACGTCTTCATTTTGAATTCACCTAACTTTGACCTTCCGGTAGGCCCGGAAGTAAAGGTCAAGCGAGTTCACGTACACGACAAAAAATGATTAACAACTCATGGTCTATCTGATTACAAAGTTGGAACATAATTGATTATTTTGTTTAAGAGTTAAAGGTGAAAGTAATTGGCCTCGTTTTCCTCTAAAATCGCTTGTAATTTGACACCCGATAACGTCATGGTGACGTCAGAGTAATATGCACCACTTGGGATGAGGGTTGATGTATATTGAAAGTTACAAGTTCATATCATAAACCGTCTAGGAGAAGTTTTGTCCGGCATAAAAAGATGGAAAGAAAGAAGATTTATGAGAACAATTCCAGACAGTGGTCGGGTTGTGCCCGACCACTCAAAGAGTGGTCGGGTTGTGCCCGACCACTCAACTAGAATGAAAATTTGTAATACTTTGTCTGATCAACAAATGTCGTTGATATCACAAATGGTTGTACAATCCTCGCTATGATTCGATTTTCAGGAAAACAAATTGTAGAGTTTGATCGCTGTTTACTCTTAGACTTATATGAACTTTGTTGCTGACTCGGCAGACATAGGCCTACATAAAACACGGTAGACATGGTCTAGTTTTTGAAGCGCATGTCTGGAGCTGCACATAAAAAAATATGGCAGCTCAAAAATAGAAACCGTATAGGTAGACTTCAGTATGGAGTTTGGAGTTTTATGCAACATACGCTTAACATCTAAAAATTAATGTATTTTTAATGTTTTTCTTTGTCTTTGCATGGGCTAATAAAATTCTGCTCCGAGCTAACGAAAGAATGGCACGAAAGATTCATTGTCTGCATTTAAGGTATGAGAGGAAAACAAAACAAAAATGAACTAGAATGAAAATTTGTAATACTTCGTCTGATCAACAAATGTTGTTGATATCACAAATTGTTGTACAATCCTCGCTACGATTCGATTTTCAGGAAAACAAATTGCAAACTTTCCATTTACGTCGTTAACGGAATGTTAGGAGTTCAGCAAGCGTTTACCTGTTAATTTTTTTTTATTGTTCCTAGACAGCTCAGTTAAGACACAAGTTTAAGTTTGAGAACACTATTGAAGCTTGTCTTGTAGATGGTCTGTCCGCGATAAGCACATGGGGGAGGGGGATTGACAACTCCTTTGCGGGGCCATACACCACTGATCGTGGTATCGTGCGAGCAAAAGCCGTCATGTCTGAATTTCTTCAGCTCAAAAATAGAAACCGTATCGGTAGACTTCAGTATGGAGTTTTGAGTTTTATGCAACATACGCTTAACATCATAAATGAATTCATTTTTAATGTTTTTCTTTGTCTTTGCATGGGCTAATAAAATTCTGCTCCGAGCTAACGAAAGAATGGCACGAAAGAGTAATTGTCTACATTTAAGGTATGAGAGGAAAACTAGCGAGGGACGATTCCCAAAAACTTCTCTCACCAGATATTGAAAGACCAATGTTGGCTCTGATCAAATCCAGAAGGAAAATATTCTGAGAATCCTGGCAAGTTGACTTTTTGAGGGACAAAAATAGGGTAAAAATTACAATTTTGCAAGTTCTAAATTTAACATGTTTTTACGCGTGTTCTAAAAAATAGCACAAGGGTGACGTAATGATGATGTAACAAAATATAAAGTATCTTCGTAACGTGGTACAAGTTTACACTAGGTTTTATGATCATACCGTAAACCGTATGGAAGAAGTTTTGCTTTGTTTTGATTTTAGGCTAAAGTCTTCATTTTGAATTCACCTAAGTTTAACCATCCGGTTGACCCGGAAGAAAGGGTCAAGTGAGTTCACGTTTACGAAAAGAAATGTTAATCAATTCATTGTCTATTTGATTACAAAATATAAACATCACTGATTATGCTGTTAGTAATTGGACCCTTTTTCACCTAAAATTGCTTGTAATTTGACACTGGATGACGTCATCATGACGTCAGAGTAATATGCACCACTTCGGATGAGGGTCGATATATATTGAAAGTTATAAGTTCATACCATATACGGTTTAGGAGAAAACCTGCGGAGAAGTATTGTCCGGGGAAAAAAAAAGGAAGAAAGAAAGAAAGTCTAGAGTTTCGCGTTTGTTGTTACAAACGCAGAGTGGTCGGGTAGACAACTATTTTATGAAACACTGTCCAGTTAACGGGAACATATAATATGATTTATATGACTTAAATACATTTAAAACAGCTTTCTTGCCATGTAACTATGACGTTTCCACCTCCTTTGTAGCAGTAAAAGAGAGAAATTTCAACATTTAGGCTTTGATGCTAATGAAAATTTCCATATTCATGAGCCAAAGCGTGATGTCATTCAAGGCAGAACCGTAGTGTCTCCATAGCTTTGTGTATACAAACATATGTCAAACTTTTCTTTATTTTCTTGGAGTAAATTCCACTTTTTATTGTTTATCATGTAAAACAGCTTATTTGGACAATCGTAGTGGTAAATATTTCTTCAAAAAAATTTTTGTGGGTAATTTTGAAGGACACATTTTTGTACTGTTCATAACACACCTTTGGCAAGGAGTACCTTGTGTGACAAAAGCAAAATAGCGCCCTCTTATATATTGATGAAAGGATTTACTAATAATTGAAAAACTACCACTTTCTTGTCACTTCCAATGAAAACAAGTATTAAGATCTTGTATGTATTGTTGCAACACATAGTAATGTGCATGAAAACAAGATGCATGTTTCCTTTAAGTTATGAATATTTTTATGTATTAAAGAACAAAGGATTTCGAAATAAAATCATTTCCAGTAAAATCAATTATTTTTATCTTCAAGTAAAAAATACACAGCTTTACATGTTTATAAGTTTGCAGAAAATAAAACTATCATAACCGAAACGGAAAGCGGCACCGGGGAGGGTCACGTGACAGATACAAAAAAAGCGCATCAAACGGGACGAACGCAATGCCGTTTACGTGCACAATGCGCTGTGCATCGGCACCCATGGTCTACATGTGGATTGGGTTTCAGTCCCTACCTGATTCCGTGGGTTTTCCCCAGACTATTCTTCTGGGGTTTTCCTCCCACCTCTAAAACTGTAATTTTTTCTCATTGTCTTCTCTCTACGTTTTTTTTTCGGGGTTTGCGAGCTACAGTGCATGGGGCATGCACTTTTGAGGATCCTTGGTTTCATTACCAGAAAAAAATTATTTATCGTTTACTTCGTTTCGTATGAATATAAAGGAGTAAATGCTTCAGATTTCAAATATGCACTTGTCATTTACAAGGCTGGGTTGGGGCAACCTTGAAATTATAAAGTAAAATACTTCTGCGCAAAAATTACTGCATTTATTAAAGTTCATAAAGTACAAATGATACCATGTTCGTATGAATAAAACATGGCATTTGCTTTTGCTACCATTTTGAAGCATTTACTCGCATCTGTATGAATGAAAATTAAGCAAACACTTTTACTAAAAACCCTTTGCTAAATCTGAAAATAATTACTTTTACCTTTAAGCTTTTGCTACACTA